ATGAAAGGCACCACGGGAAGCAGGGTTTTGCTGGAGACAAAGTCATTCACTTGATGCACATACTGTTGAAGGAAGCAGCCTGGGTATTGAAATTTATTCTTGTTGTGCTTGATGGGAAAAGAAATCTTAAATCCCAGCTGGAGAATTCACAGGACTGCTTTGCTCTTTAGATTTGCTTTATAGCTGTGCAGAGTCCCGCTTGGGAGACATTAGCATCAGTAATAACTGTGGTGCTTAGCACTCATTGTGATGTGTTTCATCTGCACCTCTCTGAGAGGCTGGCAAGGTGAGTGCACAATTACAGCTCTCCCTGGCAGAGGAACTGAACAGCTATGTAGAAAGGCTTGGTCATATGGCCAAGGTGACACAATAAAGTGAAATGGTGGGATTTTGGGTGCCTCTGACCTCAAATGCCAGTGTGCTAAAAAGGAGATTTTTTGACCCATATTTTGCAAAGTAATTAATTTCCAGTAGACACTGGCGTATTGGAGAAATCAGAGCCTGAATGAACATATCATAAAAGTCAATCAAATGTATTGTTGTATTTTTTTTAAATCTGAAAACCCACCACAAGGCTCTTTCACTGTGAATACTCCTGGATAGTCACTCTGTTCCAAGTCAGGTACCTAACCCAAGAACGTAAGATAAACCTCTTTTTTTAGCCTGTCCCTGGAACTGAGGGCCACATCAACATGGCATTCAGAAAACCTGTGGTAAGAATCTGCCTCTGTTGCCTAACTCAAACAGCTAAATCAGAGAGGCAATGTGAACAACCTCTGATATATCCAGTTTTTATAATTAGTGCCCAGATCTGCAGAGTCATGTAGTAACATGTCCCATTAAAATCTGTGAAAAGTAAGTTTTGTCTGTGTTTCTGGAACTGGGAACTCTTTGCCCAAGCATGATTTCTTCTGAGTCTTAAAATGTCACAGTATCAAAGTGAGATCCAGCAAGAAGCGTGACAGCATTATATAATCCATGGAAATAAATCTGAATATTAAAATTACTTCCACAGCCAAGATGACAAGCATTTCATAAATGCAAGATTCAACAGTGGAAATTATATTCCTGAACCAGAAAGCAAATATTGTTCTCCACATGTGTGGAGGAAAAATCATCCCAGGACCTCACAGAAGGGTATTTGCTTGTGCCAGCTTTCTCTTTCAGTGGTTGGCTGTCTTTTGGCAACCTGACATCCAATAATTCACTGCATGCCCATGGGGCATTTCATCAGAGGGACATATGTTAGTGCAAGAGGAGAGCTGGTATCAGTGCTTGATGCCAGTGACAAGGAGCAGAGGCTCTCAAAGGGTCTTGCACATCTGTCTGGTCAGCCACAGACTGCAGAACCTGTCCCTGTTTTCCTCAGTCTGTTAGCTCTCAGATCTAGAATTAAGGACTAGAATTAAGAATTAAGAATTAAGAATTAAGAAAAGTCTTTAAGCAGGAAGCATTTTTCACATTTGTTTTTGAGGAAGTTGCTATGTAGCTTTTGTTGCTGCTTTAACTGCTGCAGGAACGCTGTGTGAGTGATGTGAAATTGGGGGTTAGGAAGTGCAGGAAAAAAAAAAAAGTCTACATTCAGTGATGAGCCACACTGTGGCAAGATGTAAGAAGTGCAAAGGCTTCAGAAGGAGCTGGAGAGAGAGTATCAAACCTATTGGTCCCTATGATTTGCACTCTGCTGAAACCATGAGATACTTTCCTGCCTTTAAAAAACTGTTTCAGTTCCCTTTAAAAAAATTGCCATCTGTGCTACCTAGAGAATATGTAACTGATGGGGGATTTCATCAACTCCAGTGGGTTATGGATACAATGATAAATCTAAAAAAAGGAGATTCCCATGTAAGCAAAGTCACTAGGATTTGTATCAGCCTTTGCATCTTTTTTGCCTTTGTCTCAGCTCCCAAAATTACAGGGAGGAAACAGCCATTGAGATGGTATTGTCTGTATGCCACAGTCCTAAACACAACTCTGGTCTGGACTTGAGCCCACCATTTGGAAAAAAACATCTCTTCCTGATTAAAACATTCCTGTGGTGGATTTACCACCAGCATTCTTGGTCCATGGCTCCAGTAATGAATTACCCGGACTGCAAGAAATGCCTGCCTTGTTTCTAGACTGGAGCCAGGGTGTGGGCACAGGGTCTGGCTTCTCTGAGAACTGAGTCAGATAAGAAAGCCATCTGGGCTATATTGGGTCTACTTCCTCTCATATTCAGTTTATGCACAACTCTTCTGCAGCACCTTCTGTTTTCTGGTTGTGTTGAGCGGCCTGAGTGAAGCTCGCAGCACTGCACACCTGATTATCCCCAGGCAATGAGGGTGCTGTGAGGTGCCAGGTAAAGTGATTGTGCTTCTGAGAGCACATGGAGCTCAGCCCTAGTGTCCCTCTGTCCTGACCTTTATCCTCTAGACCATCATTCCTCTAACACCTCATACCATCCTAATACTTTTGGTTGTCCTTAACGTTTTCCATCGGTGCGGTGTGATGAGCTCCTGTGAGGTGGTGCCAGCAAAGTGATCCATGGGGTCTCCTCAGCCCAAGGACCACTGCACCTGCATCTCCCACTTTACTGAGGTTTGACTTTCTGCAGCAGCAAGGTCAGGGAAGTACGAGGTGCACTCCAAGGTGTCTCTGGGACATGACCCATAAACTTAAATTCATTAAGTTCATGTCCTCAAAAGCCAGATATAAAAAAAAAAAAAAAACAAAGAACAGAAAACAAATGAGTTGTGGCCTGATGATCTGTTAGCAATATTTCATACCTCTGTATACCTTTGTTTTGCACTTTTAACTCACATGATGAAGTTTTCAGCCAGAAGTGGATATCATGTGTAAGCTGAGTTCCTTGTTTTTTTCTTTTGCCTGTCACTGGCTGCATGTTCTCTGTTGATGTCTTGTTCCTGGTACTTGACACTGACCATCTTGTCTGTGAAAGGAAGCCCTCCAGCTGGTTTGCCTGATGAGAAGAAAGGAAAGTTTGCTTGGTTTAGTCACTCCACAGAAAGCCATGGTAATGTTCCACTGCGCTCTGTGTCCACACTGCACGTGTCGGTGTGTCCGTGTGTCCGTACATCTCTGTGCAGACTGGCCTATAAATCAGCTCTTTATTCTCCTGCATGGCTGTTCCTGGCTCTGTTGCTTGTGCAGTGTCCTCTTCATGTGCTCAAGCTGCTCTGCAAATCTGTCTCATGCAAATGTCTTCAAAACTCTCTTCTATTTGCAAATAAGCTCAAATATGTCTTGAAGGTGTTTTACCTCATATTCCAAGCTGACTTGTGAAATATCAGCGTTTTGGTTTTGTTCCTGCAGGGCTTACTCTGGACAAAAAAAAAAAAAAATTAATTATGAATGTTGTTTTTTTCTCATAGCTTACTTGGCTGTTTCATGTATATCAGAACATGAATTCAGTTTATTCCTTAATTTGTCTTTCCAAAAGGACAAGATTATTAAAACATCTGTCTTCATAAAGGAGCAGGCACCATTAGAGTACAATATTTCATAGTTCTGTCAGGAGTGCTAGAGAGTCCATTATTTGATGTGGTCCTAAGAACACGGTACAAGAATTTTAGATTTCCCAAGAAGTGTGTTGGAAGCATGTGAATTGTTGTGATGGGATGAAGGAAAGACAGTTCATTTTGAGGGACACTTCTACCATAATGCTTTCAAAGCAGAAACACAGAACATTTTTGAAAGGACCTTCAGATGTCTTTTTAACCCCTGAAAAAAGACCATGTCCCAGTGAGCATCTGCAAACTGAAATGCAGAACCTCTTTCCTCTACATTGGCTCATTTTGCACCAATGACCCAGAAACAGACAGATTCTTACTATTGAGTTACACATTCCTGCAGGCTATTAGAAATCTCTCCAACAGCTCACAGCACTTGCTCTCAAGCCTCACCTGAGACATGTACCCAACAGCTAACACAGGTCATGTTCTGAAGTTCTACCAGGCTCCTGGGAGATCTGTTTAACTCCTCCATCATTCAGTCTAAAGTATTTTTTTTTTCTTTTTTTCTGTGTTTTCCAAAAGGGGTGAGGAGGGAACAGGACACATATTGGATCCTATCCATTTTCCTACCTTTAACTGAAGGATTATGGATAAAGAGTGATTGGAGCTTATGCAGGAGCTGTGAGCAACTGGGGAAATGAAAATGTTGTGGGTTTGAGGGATTTTTTTATGGTCTGTAGAAGCAAATAAAATCTTGAGGTTTGATAACAGCTAGAAACAGGTTCTTGAATCTTGATGAGAGAGGTTCACACCCAAGGTTGCTTTAATTTGATGTTCTGTGGTACTTTGTAAAAGCCTAGAAGGTTCTGTCCAGATCTTAAAAGATCTTAACATCTTATGTAATGAATATAATCCACATTCATTAGCTCCTTTGTTGGTAACATCTGAGTGGATCAGGGAGTCTGAATTTCTCTCTTACACCTCTAGGTCCAGTTTCTAGGTGTAAGGTTGAATCATATTCATGGTTGGTAAATGACAGATGAGCTATGAGCATTCTTCATCTGGTGTTTGCTACCAGGCTAACAGAAGCTGTTTATCTGGGTGCATCTCAATCCTGGTACCTTCTATTTGTATTCTAACCACTGCACAGAAGATTGGGGAGGTCAGTGAGGTGGTCGGGCTGCTGCAAGTAAAGAGGCATTTTTCTAAAATGTTCAGTGGAATCAAACAAAAGCTTCTTGTTGGGTCTGTCAGGTTTTTTACTTTCCAGTGGTTCTCATTCTCAAAATTTCCAGGAACTGGCTCTGAAAGAAGGTGAGCAGCTGCTTATTCCCTTTTCCTTAGCATTTGAGTAGCTTGTCTGTTGCTGAAGCCTACCTGCTCTGTACAGAGAGGCACTAGACTTGCTCAATAAATTGTTTAATCCTCAGCAGCTGCAGCTGAGGGTCCCCCCACGGGGCCAGTTCCCTCAGCCACGCACTCTTAAAGAGATGTGCCAGGTTCTGACAGCCACCCCTCTGCTTTTCTCCCCTCTGACTCTTGCAGTGAGCATGCCCACCAGCGAGACCGAGTCCGTCAACACCGACAACGTCCCCGGAGCGGACATGGAGGGCGAGAACTGCGGCGCCAGGCTGGCGTGAGTACCACACACAGCGTGTCAGGGGGGAAAGACAGGACAAGAGTCAGGCTTTTCAAGATGAACAAAACCCACAGTGGGTGAAAAGAAAGGCCAAAGAAGATCTATTATCTTAATTTCCAGGTAAACTCACTCTGGACATTAGTGAAGGGCCTCTTGTTTTACACATAAATAAGGGACAGAGGGCCCAGGATGAGCAGATCTGGTTTTGTATAATATCTAAAAGAGGAGCTGGTGGATAACAGTGTTCTTATTTTAAAATTCCTCGTTGGTGGTAGACTTTCAAAACCAGTATATGTAGACTGAAGAGTGGAAATGACTGGTCTATTTTAATTTTTCTGAAGATTCTTGTACACTTTACAGTGTCTTGTAATAGAAATACATTGATGGTAACTCCCATTCTGCAGACAGAATTACACCCTTCAAATGCTGAACAGAGTACTGCAGTGAAAAAGAAATACAACAATTAGGAGGGATCAATGCCTCATTGAAATTACACCATTGTAATTAGTGGAGATGCTCAAGAATGTGTGAGATTGCAGTTATGAAATGCCATAGTATGTGGTGTATTTTTTAGCCTCACAGAGAGCAAGTACAGACAAGAGGAGTCCTTTATTCCCTTTCAAACAAGAATGGACTTTATGCTGTGGGACAATACATCATTCCCTCCAAATTTCCTTGACACATGAGCTAAACATATCAGTGCTATAGCTTGTACCACACTTGAGTCTTTTGAGGCTCTGTCCTATCCTTGGAGGTACCTTGAGGTGCTGCTTGAATGGACCAGATGGGATCCATCCTGGAAGAAGAGCTCTCCAAGCCACTCTCCATCATTTATCTTCAGTCCTGGCTCACCAGGGAGGTCCCAGATCACTGGAAGCTGGACAATGTGACACCCATCCTAAAAAGCTGAAAGGAGGATCCAGGAAAATGCAGGCTGGGGACAGAGTGGCTGGCCAGAGGCCAGGCAGAAAGGGACCTGGGGGTGCTGGTGACAGCAGCTGAACACGAGCCAGCAGTGGGCCCAGGTGGCCAAGAAAGCCAATGGCCCCTGGCCGGGGTCAGGAATGTGGGGCCAGCAGCAGCAGCAGGGCAGAGATTGTCCCCCTGTACTCGGCACTGGTGAGGCCACAGCTCGAGTGCTGTGCCCAGTCCTGGGTCCCCCCGTTTGGGAGGGATGGTGAGGTGCTGGAGCCAGTCCTGAGAAGGGCAGCAAGGCTGGTGAGGGGTCTGGAACACAAGAGGAGCAGCTGAGGGAGCTGGGAGTGTCAGCCTGGAGAGGAGGGGATCAGGGGAGAGGCTGTGCCAGGGGAGGTTGAGTTTGGATATTGGGAAGAAGAACAGAAAGGGTGATTTTCTTCACAGAAAGGGTGATTGGCCACTGGAATGGGCTGCCCAGGGAGCTGGTGGTGTCACCAGCCCTGCAGGGGATTGGAAAGGCTGGATGTGGCACTGAGGGCCATGGTGTGGTTACCAAGGTGGTGTTTGGTCATAGATTGGACTTGATAATCTCAAAGGTCTTCTCCATCCTAGTTAGTTCTGTGTGATTCTGTGATCTGCATTAAAAGATGTGGCATGTGGAACATGTTGTAATTTCAATCTCTGCTTTCAAGAGTCAGTCAGTGACTTACACACCCCAGGAGAAATTGTGATCGCTTTCCTTCACCTGCCATTGGGAACCTGCTGAGTCTTTTAGCTTAGATTTATGAACCTTTTCCTGCAGGAACCAGGCTAGATGTATCCACAGCACTGGGGCAGTTGTAGCCTTTTTCTTTGGCACCCCACCACGCTGCTTGTGTTGTTGGCACAGTACAGGAAGCATCAGCTGGATCCCCTCTGGAGAATCATCTTTAATTCTGCAGCTATGCTTCACAGAATCACAGAATGGGTCAGGTTGGAAGGGACCACCCTGGCTCATCTGGCTGTGTCAGAAATTTATCATCATTGCTTTCCAGCAGCCTCCTGGTCTGGTTTTGCTTTGCTGTGCTGCTTCTCCAGAATATGTCAGAGTAGTAAACTCCCTCATAGGTGTGGACACAGTGCCAAAAAGAATGGCAGCAGTTACTCTAGGTTTCATGTATTTTTAATATTACATCTTGCATTCATTTAATGTTCTTAATCTCAAAGGATCCTAAAGCACTTTATGAACTGTAAATGCAGGGATTGTTTTCACAGCATTAGAGTGCAGCCACCTTCAGGGTAAAATGTGACAGGTGTTTAAAAACAACAGGCACAAGTGTTTAAGGGGTTGTAGGAGGGATAGCTTGCTTTGCACTGAAACTGCGTTGGGAATTTTGGCAATCAGAACATAATTATCTTAGCTGGAATGTGGCCAGGAGGGCTGAAGTTAAACCCAACTCTAAGTGTAATCATGACTTAGAATGGAGTTTACTTAAAATAGCCCAGCATGCTCACAGGAGAATGGCAGTACCCTGATCTGGCATGAGGAGAAGGGATGGCTAAGCCCAATATATTTTAGGGAAAGAGACGTAGGAAAATTACAGGAAAGCAGAGCTTCATTTCTTCTTCTCATGTTGTAAATGTTAAAACATGGCCCAAAGTTTCAGCAGAGCAGGACTGAATGTAAGATTCAGAGAGATAAACAATTTCCTTGCCACTTTTCACTTCATCTGGAAATGGGTGATGTATAGTAGGCAAATTGAAGCCTGTTACTGAGAAGGGGTTGTTTAGTCCTTACCCAAGGACAGCTGAGATCCTCAAGGCCTCCCTCAGATTGCTTTTCATCTCTAAGAGATGGATAAGCTACTTCCTCCATGAAAATGAATGGCTGTATCATTGAATATCAAATTCTGGAGTGAGAAAAAATGTTTGTTTCAAACTTGTGGATCTGAAAATTCCCTTGTTATGGACCTGCCTCTGATTCTGAGGCTTAGAATCCTTTCTGGTTTCTTTTGTTACTGTACCACACACTCAGGCAGAGAAACCAGATGTCATTTTTGCAAGAAGTGTTAAGTATTCTTCTTTTTACTAAGTCCTCTTTCAAGCCCTCCCCCACAGGTCAATATTCCTTCTGGAACATATAAAATGTAAGCAAGAGTTTATTTGAATGTGTTCTTTTATTGAAACCTGACTGAGAATCAGGATTTGCCCCAGTGTTCAAGAACAGTGAAAATTCACACGGGAAATCAGTTGAACTTTTAAAAAAATCTTCCTCCTCAGTACTAGATTTTTGAGTGCTAGCATTAATAATTACACTCATGCCATCCTGATTTGCTCTAGTTGAAGATTAGGCCTGGACTTTTGAGCAGTCACCTACTCCCTGTTTTCACAGCTGGATTGGTTAGCCAAGGTTTTTGTTGGACTGTTGATTTTCACCTGTGGCAGATGAGTCTCAATTTTTTTACCATTTTCTAAACTCACCCTGTGGCCATGAGTGCCCATTGCTTTGCTGTAAAAATGCTCCTTCCCAGAGGGCAGAGGCTGCTCTGGGCAGGCTGCAACCAGACTGAAGCAACATGGGGCTTTCAAGACAAAGGCAATATATTTATTTATATTTATTTCTTTTTTGACATCAGGCTGCCTAGGGTGTTTAACCACCACCACAGTAACATAGCTGAGCTTGCCATCAAAATTGACTCGTGATAAAAGGAAAGAGATGCCCAGGAGACTGAAAGAAAAAGCTTTTTCATTGAAGGCAACTTAGAATAACTCACTATTCTTTTAAAGTCTGTAGGGTTTTGAAAGGCTGGGTCTGTGACTGACAGAAAGATCTGCTTGAGGAGCCAGGTTCAAATATGCCTTTTGGAAAAGGAGATCTTCCCTGACAGCCTTTCTCAGCTCCACAGAGACATATGCTGTGTGAGATCAGGAGAGTACCTCCCAAACACAAACTATTGCCTACTGATAAATTGTCTCAAAGAAGCTTTTATTTCTCTAGTATCCATGCCTCAGAAACTGCCTCTATCAACTGTCCTGTCTGGAGTAATGCCAGCCTTCAAACCTGCAGGAGTTTCAGGAGGAATCTAACATCTGATCTGTCTTTACTTGTTGTGTAAATCAATTTTTTTAGAAGTATGGCAAAATAAAATAAAAAAATTTAAAATATAACAACAAAAAAAAACCTGAAAAACCAAAAACAAAAGCCAATTTAATTCATTATAATTTCTGGTGTAATTCTGCTGGTGACAGGAGTGCTGAGGCCCTGCACAGTTCACTTCCTAAGGGTATTCACATTATCAGGCATCTGAATTTGAAAATGGTTTTGCAGGCTTCCACAGGACACTGAAAAGCATCCCACAACTTCCACAGTATATTATTCCTGTCATGATATTGCCTTGTACTGGGCTGACATCTGCCCTGCAGTAGGACCACACCAGCTTTTATCCTCAAGGACAGCATTTGGATGTGGAACTTATCTTATTTTGACATGTCACAGCTTTCACAACCTCTTGCCTCAGGGTACGAAGAAACACGTTTTCTCTGCAGCAGGCACCAGTGGGACAAACCCAGAGCCAGGGTTTTGTGTACAGGATATTCTTACACCCAGGGCTTCCCAATAGTTTCCCTGAGCCTCTGGGGTTATTGCTGTGCAGGATTCAGATTCCTGAGGACAGGCTATTGCTCATAATCAGGAGTAATCTGTTCTGTGCAGGGTGACAGCATATGTAATCTTCTAATACATTCAGAATGTTAATTTTCTAACACAACCATACAGATCTGGAGTGCCACAATAGAGCTTGCTTTTATACATATGCATTAGCTAAAGAAAAAAAAGACCTTTGTGGAAACTAATGCTCCATAGAGCCTCAACAGAAAAGTGAAGCACTTGATCTCAAAAGGAAAGAGAGCTCAAAATTATCTGCTTTCATTGAAACAATAACCCACTTGGCATTTTAGCCTTGGCCAGGATTTCCATACATAGGGGGGACAGCTCAGTTGCTGTTCCACCAAAGACAGTTCAAACAATAAAACAGGATAAACCAAAATCAACAACCTACACTGGCTTCCCAACTGAAAACAGTGCATCCTGAAAATTTTATGAGCAGTGGAAGCTGAATCCCTGGCAGCTGAATGATCAGTGATTCTTCCCTTGGTGCTTTTCTGGCGTGGAAATTAATTCCTGTGCAGTTCTTGTAACAATCAGCATAGGGGCCAGTGGAAAAGGTAAAAGTTTTCTTGCAGGTTTGCTGCAGCTGCTGCTGGTTTTCACTTTATGAGGAGATTCAACCAAAGTTCCCATCACATCAGGAACAGTGGGAAGAAAAGTCTGCCAAAAGCTGTGAAACCACTGCTGACTTCAGCAGGAAAACTCACAGGATCAGCCCTTATGTGTCAGTCTCAGATCCTGCTCTCCAACTTATGATGAGCAAGGTGCTTTTAATATTCACAGTCAGCTCTGGGTGTGTGTCTAAAGCATGCCCTTATGGAAGAGAATTTTTCTTCCTGCTTCAGATTCTGTGACAGGCCTTTCCTGTGACCTGCCACAGGGAGAGCAGGATTATTTACTGAATGCTTAAATGCTGGCCTGTTTTCCCAGCCTTGAAGAAAGCCTGTTGAATAGCAAACCAACTCAATTTTATGCTGGACAGATCCAATTCTCTTAAGGTTATTCTTCAGACTCTTATTGTGCCACCTTTCCAGTAACTGCATGAATTGCACCAAAACAGGATCCACATCACACCAGGACTGCTTCCTCGAAGCACTAAAATCTGTAAGATACAGCCAGTGGAGCTCTTTAGATGTTCTCCAAAGCTGTATATAACCTAGAAGCTTTGTAAAGTCCATTTCTGTGTTTTCTGCCTGTCTGACAGCTCTTATTGGTGTCCAAAGGCTTTTGTGAGTCCTTATGAGGATCTGGTTGCCTCTAAGCTGGGATCATACAATATAAAAGCAGTTCTGACCAGAGAGTTAGATAATGGCCATGTTTGATAATGTCCACACCCAGAAAACAACTGTAATGTGGCCTTTGTGTCATGCTTGGTGACCTACAAAATTTTTCCAGGGTCGTCTGTTGTGTGTACAATTCCACAGAGCCCTCAATCCCTGTTACACAAAACTGTCACATCCTTCACAAACACCTTCTCTGGTGTCCACCATGAACAGGGAAATGAAGACTTTATCTCTCAGAATGTGGGATATCTCATTACATTTGAGTTGTGCTGATTATCCAGAATTCACGTTGATAAAAGCCTTTAAATTTCACCATCTTATCTGTGTGTTGTACCTAACTGTGTAAGGCTGGAGGAGTTCTAGAGAATTTCAAAGACAGCTAGTCAAACAGTAGCAATCTGATTTTTGTGTTTGTCTTTCTCAAATACAAGCTGAGTTACATGGTTCCTGTGATAAAAGCACTCAGTAGTGATCTGAAGTGGTTTTCCTTAGGCTCCTGTATCATAATTCTAAACAAGAGTTTCTCAAGGTATTCCAGAGTTGGGCACAATTGGAGTCTCCCTTTTTCTCCCAACAACATAAACCTCCCAGGACACCAGAGATGCAACAGATCCATCTTTAAACTCAGCAGAGAATCTGGTCCACTCTGAACCCATTAAGTACCAGCTTGGAGTGTCACAGACACTGCAGCAAAGCCCTTTTTCCAGACTATTTGATATCTCCTAGTGATGCTATAAAAGCATTTTTTTGTGTGACATTGGTAATCCACGTTCTGAAAAAAATTTTATTTCAAATGACATAAGAGTCATTTGAAAAACGTGTTTCAGATTCGTGCATAATGTTTTCAGAAACGTTTATTATAGAGTTTATTTCCAAAATTCCATTTCACTCTCTGATTCTACCTCTAAATATAAATCTAATCCTCCTTCCTTGTCCTGTTCTATATATATAGCACACCCACATGTGATAAAGCCTTCTGCCACAGCAGTAAGGCAAGGTGGAGGGAGGGGGATGAAGGCTGTAGGTAACCTGTGGGAGCACTGAATGCACTTGGCTGCTGCTCATAATGCTCCAAAGATATAATTATCACATGCATGATGAGTACTACACCTGCTGCATCTCTTTTGCTTAAATAAATAAAAGATTTCAGTGCTGCCTCACCGAGAAACCATTAACCAGAGAGGTCACCAGAGGGTTTCACACTCCCTGTCCTTCCCCTCCCATCTCTCTTGCTCTCTCGCTCTCTCTCCCCCTCTCTCCCTGCCAAACTATTCCTACCAAAATCCTCACCACCTCCTTTCCAGTGCTCAGCTTTCTGCTTCCTTGTGATTTTTGCATCTTTTCACTTCCCATCTTTGAGCCTTCTTTCCTGTTGCCTGTAAATCTGCCCCATTACAGTTCCTAGGTAGTGATTACCGAGCCAGAATTCTCAGTGAGAAGTAGGAATAGCTTTAACATTGAGGATGTGTTCTGCAGGTGCCTCACTCAGCATCTTTGTTGGATCTTGCTTTGTCTCTGCAGCACGATTTAGCATTCTGCCCTGCCAGAGCCTTGTTTCTTCTCTCTCAGGAGCCCTGCAGGTGTCTGTAACCTCACTGCTGCCCAGTGTGTGGCCAAGACAAGCTGCCTGTGGCACTGCAGGGATGATGTATTTGGGTGTTTGGCACAAAGGCTTTTTTCTTTCCTTTGGCTCAGCCCATCTGCTGGTGAAAAGTTCCCCTGACTAAAACCTCTTCCATGACCTGTGGCTGATTCCTTGTCACTGGCTGATGTCCTCCAGCAGGGACAGCACCGTTGTCAAGGCTGATGGAGCAAGAAGTGTGAGATGCTTGGAGAATCTCATTCTCCCATCCCTGCTAACAGTGAATCCAGTTTTAGGGCAGTGCAGTAAGACCTCTGCTGACTGCTGTCAACAATGACTCACTTTCTCATCACAGAGGGAGCCTTAAGGAATGCTTCCACCCAGCAGAAATACCTTTTTTTTTCGTAGTCATTCCCCAGATTCTCATTTCTGCTGCTATTGGTAGTAGGTTTTGCAGCTTCTTCAGTCACCTCTGACTCACACCATTGTATCCACATCCATTTATTTCTCTCTGTGCACCATTATGGATTTACCAAAAAGTGTTCAAAGGCCTCACAGGATGTGTCAAGCAGAGCAAGGTAGTGGTTTAAGAACTTGGGCCAATTTCTAGCTTTACCTGTGACTTCTCATAAAAGATTAATGAGATTATTTGGGTGGATAAATCCAAATGCATGGAATTAGGTATTTAAACACATATATAGTGGGAATATGGCCATATTTTCAGGAATGATTAATTCTCAAAATTGCATTGATAGCAACAGAATATATTATTGTATAATCAATTTACAAAAATAACCAAGACAAGTAAGAGTTAGTATCAAAGTTTAAAATTATTTGCCATGCACGGCTTTTCCTTCAATTACTGAAAAAAAGCCCCATTGTTTTCACCATTATTGTTTCATAATGTGCTTATAGATCCTGAAGTGACAGGTGATGTGTGAAAGCAACAAATCTGTCTGTAAAAAAAAATACACATTTTAATATAAGAAAAAAAAATAGTGACCAAAAAAAATATAAAAAATCACACTTGAGAGGTTGTAGAGTTCACTGATATCTGTAGTGGTAGAATCCCCACCATGGCATGATTTCTGCTTCATGAGTCCCATCAAAACACAAGATTTGGTTACTGGGGAGTTCTAGCCATGCCCAGTGCCCACATTGACTGACTTACAACAGATGCAAGGGGAGAACAGCATGGATTAAAAAAAGCATTGAGCTTGACTTTGTTTCTTTCTATTGCTATTCTCACAAAAGCCTGGGAGGTGTGGGGCAGCTTCAGAGGTCTAATGGCAATTCTTGTCTTTCAGGCATCGGATCTCAAAATCAAAATTTAGGTGAGTAAAACTGGTTTTTGCTTTTCCTCCTTTCCACTGTTTTTGTTCTGTTCTGAAGTGGTTTACACCATCACGGATTCAGTGGTGATTCTAGGAGATCCTGTGAACTATGTCAGATTTTAGTCATAATTTTTTTCTTAGTTTCACACTGAAATAAGGCACAGGGACTATGGACTACTGAAGTACCTATCTATGCTACCTGTGGATCTCAAACTGTAAAACATAAAATCAGAAATAAACAACCAGTTCAACCACATAATTCTGCTACATCCATCAACATCAACCCTGTCAGCTCAAGGCTCTCTTGGTTGAACTTCTCTGCTTTGCTTGATTGTAAAGATTTCGACTGATGAAGCTGGCATCTTATTTGTGAAATTCTGCCATTCACCCTGGGCCATGGGGAGCTTCTCTGGTGGTGTTTGGTTTTCTGCTGACTTCAAGATTTTGGGAAAGTGAAGCAGTCCCAAGATGGCAATTTCTGGGGTTTCTCTGGGGAGGCTGACTGAACTCATGGAACTCGGTTGTTAAGGTCCATTTCTGCCCCTTTGGTAGGAGCTCAGCTGTCTCCATAACCTTGGATTCAAAGTCAGTTTTATAAAACACTAAATGAATTTTCAGAATAACTGGAGGAAATGCATAACTGGTTCTCTCTGCTTACCTAATAATGTCAGTTTGGGAAGCACATAGGTGACATCCCCACGTAAAGAGTGGAGGTAAAAGCACAGAAAACACCGTACATTGTCATGTGCACGCACATTTGTGCACAAGTACGCACAAAAGCACTGCAATTGCAAAAATTTTAATGACAAAATTAATGTCTAAGCGTGGTGCCCACTTTGGAAGTTGGGAAGATTATTTCTTGTCCCAAATCCACTGCAAAACACACAAGGTATCTGTTTGTGATAGACTGGGTGCCTTTATAAATTACATAGGTAAAACACCCTAGATCTGACCACCTGTTAAAATGTTGTTGAAAAATTCCTGTTCACGTTGTGTTTATGTGATCTGGCTTTAGTTCCTATAGATGAGAACCCTGATCTCAGGCATGGCAATAGTTTGCCACTGAAAATGATACACAGGACAAGAGCAGCCAAGAAAAGTTCTTCCTCCTGCAGCATCGTGTGTGTGTGTGCCACTTCAGACACGCACACATATGTATGTAGTATCTATATAAAACTATTAGATTTATTATACAGTGGCAAGTGTTGCCTGGAAACTGGTTGCTATGCAAGTTAAATTCTGAAGAGTAGGAGGTGTGTAATTAGCTTTAAATATCTTCTGTGGTTAGTAATTACCCTGAGAAATCAGTGACACAAGGGGATGTGTTCATGGAAGGCAAACTTTAAAAACTCTCTTGATTAGCAAATGGTACCCTTAGTTCCAGGCATGAAGGTGAGATGCTGAAGTCCCCTAAGTTTGGGGATTTTTTCAGAACTAGCCCTTGTACTGGGCTTACTCCTGAATGTTGCTGCATGCTGGAAATGTTCTTTGGCTTTTATTTGACCTCAAGTCTCCAAAGACTTAATCCTTCAGCTCCATGTGACAGAGCATCTTTCTGCTGACTATCCTGAGGCTGGGCAAGGTGCCCTTGCAGGCCACAAGCATCAGGTAAAAGGAGAATATTTATTCTTGTGGCAACTGAGCTAAAAAATCTCTTGGGTTTTCAGCAGTGGATGCCTCACTCAGGTTAAGATATTGCTTGAAGCTCTTGCAAATTGGTTTAGGACAAACTTTATTCCTATAACTACAGGAGGGATGTTCACAAGTGTCAGCTCAGATGAGAGAGGATTTCTCAGGGTGAACATGGGTTACTCTCTGCCATTCTTGAACAAATCAGGACTAGATTCTCCTTTGACAGAGAGCTGCAGTAGCCTAAAGATCCCTCTCTGAAAAGAACTTTCCCTTCTTCCATTTTTCAAGTCGCTACTGGCGCCGATGGAACCGATTCTGCAGAAGGAAGTGCCGTGCTGCTGTCAAGTCCAATGTTTTCTATTGGCTGGTGATCTTCCTCGTGTTTCTCAACACCCTCACCATTGCCTCTGAGCACTACAACCAGCCAGACTGGCTCACAGAGGTCCAAGGTGAGGAGGAGCTGCTGGTTCTCTTTGTGATGGTGGGTGTCAAAAAAGGGAGCTGAGAGAAGAGCTGATGCATTAAACCACATGTAAAAGGAGAGCACACGGCTCCAAGCAGTCCTGTGTCTGTGGAGGGATCCTAAATAATGCAATAAACTTATCTGCCTGCTGTGGGACAAGTTATAGGAAAAATATGAATGCCTCCTTTCCAGCCAAAGCATTGTTCCTTTGGGTGTAAGTGAAATCAGGAGCTGATGCTAAATTTATATTTGCAGCAACTGGATTCCCAACTTATGGATAGCTACTGGGAGCCCCACATTGTCCAGGGTTTCCCCTGAAATGGCATTTATGATAAACTCTAATTATTAGGGAGGTGACAAAGAGTGATTTGTCAAGTTCTTCTGTCTGCAGAACAGCTGAATTCTCTCTGGAGGTGAGAGCAGCTGAAAAGGCTTAATTAAGCAACAGTAGGTAGCACAGCAGCTCTTCTATTCCCACTCTGCTCTGCAGATGACGGGTGTGAAGGCAGGTTGTGCACAGGAAGGCGTGTCCCTGCCACTGGAGGTTGTGTAATACATTGCAGCTGCATGTGCAGTACACAAGAATTGCTGTAACCCTCCTGCTAAAACATTTCTGTGAATGAGATGCCCACGCTTTCCAAGTTCACTCTTTGACCCAAGCTTACACGAAGATAACTTTTAAGACTGATCCTTGAAATGCTTTCGCAGAAGCAAGGGCCAATGTGATGATCTTTTGACTAAGTTTCCTTAACCTGTTTCTTTTTGCTTCCCATGAGACACTGCCAACAAGGTGCTGCTAGCTCTTTTCACGGCAGAGATGCTGCTGAAGATGTACAGCCTCGGTCTCCAGGCCTACTTTGTGTCCCTCTTCAACCGCTTTGACTGCTTCATCGTGTGCGGGGGCATCCTGGAAACCATCCTGGTGGAGACAAAGATCATGTCACCCCTGGGCATTTCGGTTTTGAGATGTGTCAGGCTCCTAAGGATATTTAAAATCACAAGGTACTTTATAGCTTCTTTGGGGCTGGGCGAGGGTTTCTGCTCAACGCACAACATGTATGGTTACAAGTCACTCTTGTTTAACTCTTTCTGCCACTAATTAGGTAGTGAGAGTGCTAAATTAACAGTCCTCGTCTTCTGAAGTCTGTAACAGGGTGGGGAGGGCTGTACAGACAGGACATCTACCCCTGAGGTGAGTGCTGAGGGGTCTGGAGACACCTGATACCATGGAAAGCGTTAAACTGAGAGCTGGAGTGATGTGAGCCCAGGCTCTCGCAGCTCTCTGCAAAAGACAAAGAAAACCAAAACAGCAGATAGCCTTGTGGCCTCCTCTGACCCTCTTTAGTGACAGAGAGGAGCCTGAAAGGCTGCTTTGAAAAAAGCATTTTGAAAAACAGCATTTGACTGAGGAGCCCATGCCAGCTCCAGTAGACTCAACAGTGACCTGAGTGGGAGATTGTGTCAACACCAGCAGCTACAGGCAAAGGATGTTGCCAGCTATTCCCCTTCCAAGGATCCATCACAAAGCAGCAGCTTTATGAAGAAACCAGACTTTTTCCAGCTTCTGGTATCTTTTCCCTTTCCATTCTTTGCATAAAGGCATGGTGATATCTATTAAACAGTCACTGCTTGCTCAACCAGGGACCTCCAAAACAACAGCTTGGCTTGGCAGGGCTTTTCCACCTTGAGGGGAGTTCGTAGGAGAGATCAGCTCCAAACTTACCCAAAGCTCTTGCAACAAATCTGTCCAAGCTCTTGCCCCAAGTAGCACAAGGTCTGCCTTTTCCTGTGTGGGCACCAGTGTTTTTTTTTCACAAAAACCTTGGCTGAGGTGGTGAAAGAGTGCTTTTTTTGTTTGCTCAGCCATGGAAATGTCCCTACAATTGCTGTAACACCCCCTGTCAGAGGAAATTTCTGACAAATTGGAGATAGAAAACACAGCACATGAGAAAAACAAGTCCAAAACTGGAAGATAGTCAAGATGGCTGGGCTGAGAGGCAGAAAAAAACAACAAGTCTTGGACTTGTGCATCATACAAGATTTGCCCTGAGAGCTTCTGAGGCTCAGATCTCTGGCAGGATGGATGGATCTCAAGGTCAGATGGCAGAGACAGAAAATCAGTTCACAGCCTCAGAGAGAGAGGCCAAAGCAAGCCTAGAACCATTTCAAAAAAGGGGAAAAAAAGTGGTCTGCTTGGACATGTGATCATAGAAGAAACATTCCAGAGGGGAACGTTCCCTCCCAGAGAGGGGAAACAAGTTTCCAGCAAGAAAGGCATCCTTGCTCTGTCAGAAATAGTGGGGATCTCTGCTCTGGGGACTGTTTTTCCTGGATCTAGCCATGACCAAGTCCCAGGCCTGGTTTCTGAGGAAAGCAGTAGCTGTTTCAGGCACTGGGTAATCAGATACACCCAGGGCAACATACCAATAGCTATAAAAGCATGAGCTTCAGCATAGCATCCTGGAGAGGTCATTGCTTTTCCAAGACATGTCTCCACTCCTACACAAAATACATAAGCTACCTAAGAGAATTCTCTAATAGAAAGGCAAACACTGAGAGAATATAATTAATACTTTAGAAAACCTGAGCTAGTGGAGTAGTCAAATATTCCTAAAGCTTCTGGCAGAAATGTGACAATGGAACAGCAGCAGCAGGACTGGTTACATTTGCCTTCACTCTGCAGCACAACTAAAATACAATTTTTTCCTTGAAAGAAATGTTACCTGGAATATGTCTCCTACACTTTGTGCATGGGTCTGTGTGTAAAGCACAGAGCTAAGAACTCATAATGCATAATGTATTAATCAGATCTTTCTTTCTTTCTTTCTTTCTTTCTTTCTTTCTTTCTTTCTTTCTTTCTTTCTTTCTCTCTTTCTCTCTTTCTCTCTTTCTCTCTTTCTCTCTCTTTCTCTCTTTCTCTCTCTCTTTCTCTCTCTCTTTCTCTCTTTCTTTCTTTCTCTCTCTCTTTCTTTCTCTCTCTCTTTCTTTCCTGTTCCTAAAACATTGACAAGTAGGCTGCAGTAGTTTCAAATTCATGTTTTGTAATTATTCATAATTTTCTTCATAATTCTTCCCTCTGTGGTTGAAGTTCACCCTCATGTGGAAGGCCCTAACACAAGCCCCTAAAGCATTATTTTAGGCTCACCCATGCCTTTTTTCTGCAGGACAGAATATTTTGCCACTAAAGCCAAACTTTTACCTTCTCTAGTAAAATACAAATTTTTCTGTTTTCCACTCAGCTCTAAATGCAATGAGGATTTATTAATGACATTATCAGCCCTACCTGAGTGCAATGATAACTCAGAAAGTTACAACACTGGAAAGCTGGGAGGGGCAGGAGGAATGGTAGTGTCATGTTTTATATCAAATATACATTCATGAGCATGAGGGGACATACAGTGAATGTGAGAATAATGATAATCTAGGATATTAAAAAGGTACAAAGCAGGAAAATTACTCTGGTGAGAATATATCAGTAGGTAGACTATTCTTTATATATTTGCATAGATTTTCCATGGTAAACACCATGCACAAACAAATTCAGGGTCATCGAGATGATACAATTCTACATGAAACACAAAAATAGCTGCACAATAGAGCAGAAACAAATAAAGATGAACAATGCAACATTTTAGAAACACCATTTAGAGTTTCAAGACCAAACATTTCTTCCAAAATTATAAATACATTAGACAAGCAGACAATGTGATCTCTTTTATTCTCCCTAATTTTTAAAGTTCTGTGCAGAACATCTCGCTTTGCTGTGAGAAGACAGATTATTTTCTCATTCAAAAAAATCCTTTACTGCTTTAAATGTATTATAGTCCTTTGTATTTAAAAAATAAATTACATCATTTGCAACAGCATACAGGAATTTGATGTTTTATGCCTAATCCTGCCACTAGGTAAGTCACTGTTAATTGTAGGGAGGAGAGACAGGGTGCCCCATTTTTTGTACCTTCTGTCAAAAACCACTGTCAAAGTGGTTTTATGTTGGGTGAACAGGGTGGGAAGTTTTCCAATAATGAGTCTGCCAGCTGTTGCTGCTGTTTTAAGCCCTGCACCTGTGATTGCTGGAGATGTGATCATGAGGATTTAGGGAGGGCAATGGAGAGAGAGGAGAGGGAAGGCAGTAGAACACGTTAAGTTCCAATCCAGTTCTGCAGCCGGTTATTGGGTGAGATGTTGAAGAAACCACTTGACTTGTCTGCATCACTCCTCCACTTTGAAACAGGGGCCACAGCCAGGTCCTCCTCACCTGGGGTTTTGCAGAGCCTCGTTCACTGGCACCCCCAAGGGCTCAGATCTGCACTGGGAACTGGTCAGGGGCACCTTCATTCCCCATAAACCTGAGGCAGCTTTCTCTCATACTTCCCACCAAAAGCTGCCTTTGCTCCAAAACCTCCCATTCCATCCAGCATCCAGTGCTGATTTTTCCTTTCTAGTAAGGTGTTAACCAGAGAGGATGAAGTAGTGAGACCCTTCTTCTTTGGGCTTCAAGCACTGCTGACATAAAACCCTTGTGTTTCACTGAGTAATCCCTGATCTCACTTTGAGGGAGTTCACCTTAGTTCTGCACCCACCAAATGTGACAGATGGTAACCTCAGTGAAGCTTCTAGGACCCTGAGATAAGACTGTTGTTATTTTCACATCCTAATCAGTCAAGCATTTCATACCCTCTCCTTTCCCTACATTTCTTCCCCCTGATTGTTTTATTTACTTTTCTAGTGGTACTATCATTCTAGCTAGCACTAGTACACAGATAAAACAGCACTAACCTTACCATCTCAGTTAATTGCTTGAAGCTCGATACTTCTCTAAGAATCTGAATCCCAAGTATTGAGCCATTTGTAAGAAATGCAGAACTGGTAGAAGTCTGCACAGTTGTGAGCTGAGATAGAAAGGCCTTTAAGCTTAAATTGAGTCACTGGCACTGTTCAGATGTGTAACAACTTCACTGCTTCTTAAGGATACTGCTAGAAAGACCTAGAAAATGTGTGTCCTGCCTGACATTGGAGGACTTGGAGATATTCTGGAGCCCATCAACCTCTGCTTTAAGGATGCTGAATTCATTTGACTTTCATCAGAATGAATTTTTCCCTTCTCCTGTGTCACTTTGCCTTCTTCCCAAAGTGTGAAAGTATGTGAGCTGTGAGCATAACTGCAAACACAGGGAGCTGTTACATTGCACATTCCGTGTGGATATTTGGTGGCACTGAGCCCACAGCTTCCATGCCCTTACCTTTGCTCTGCAGCTTTTCATTGCTCATCTCTTTAATTGCAGTTAAACTTTAAAGCATCCTAGTTTTCTCTGAACTGCTGAAGCTGGGCTGGAGGGAAAACATCACAGCTCTCTTTGAAGCTCAGTCCTTGGATATGAACCCACTGCTGAACTTGAGAGGTCATGGTGATGTCCCTCTGCAGATCAGATTGCTAATCTTCCTGAAGTGGCTGGGCTGCTCAGGCAGTCCTGCCTTCCACAGGACAAGAAAAGAATTCTTTTCAGATCGACATTTTAAAAATATTAATTTAACTAGGGTTTTAAGAACCCTTGACTCTAATGAATATATACACTGCCTTCAGGAAAAAAATGATGAGTTGAAGGATAAAGTTTCCATGAGAGAGCCAGGGCACCAGTCTGCCATCCTTTCTACCTGGAACTTTTGTCTTCAGGGCAAATGTGGTTAGAAACAGAGTCCTCTGAGTGAGGAAATGTTCAAAGCTGTGGGCTGTGGGAGAAGGGACCGGAGGGCATTGGCCTTGGTGGACTCTCAAAGCATGGTGGCAGGCCAGGTAGAAGGAAGAGCACAAGCAAACATTGCTGGTTTGCTGAGCTGTGAAAGCTGGTGAGGATTTGCTGGTAATGTGCATCACAATGTGGTGGTTGGAAGATGACAGCTAATCTTCTGCCCAATCTGAAAGCTCTGCCGGCCCCAAAGCACAAAAGAGAGAAGCTCATGACCAGCTAAGAAGTAGATTGGGAGTGATTGGGCAGATACAAGACCAAAGTGGAAGTTGCTTCATGGGTGGTGCAGTGAATTATTTAGAGATTCTATCTAAAGCCTCTCTCCAGCTTGTGACTACTCTGCAGGCTGGCAAAGAATGCAAACTTGCATGCTGCAGCAATCGTGCTGCTGGCATCACTCTGAACCCTAAAGTGGAACCCCAAGGGAAAGAAATCCTCTCCCTGCATCATACATGAGTCTGAACTGGGCCTGAATACCCTCAGAGACCAGGTCTTAACCATCCTGTCTCTTGAATGAAGCCATTTGAAAATCTTCTGCAGCCTGTTTGAAAAACAAAAAACCCCAGTGATGTTGTGCTCATCCAAATGAACGTAGATCTGGAGTTTGCTTTAGGGTCCTTGTGAAAGGAGCAGCAAAATCTTTTTCATTCCTCCCAACCCCAGAGAGCTCAGCAACCTCTCTGTGAGTGAGCCCGAGCACATGCTCACACACTCCAAATTTTGGGCAAGTTTGTATTTGCATCCAAACTGTTTCCCCATCTGTTCTTGTTAGTTATTACAGGCCATTCTCTGGAGTGAGGTATTCTGGCTGCCGTAACATCTGTGAGTGTTGTAATGAGGTCGGTTAGAATGTAACTCACTGAAGCAGCAAGAACTAATCACTGTATATTGATATAAGATGTGCAGAGGCTTAGATGGAGAGCGCTGTAATAATCTTCTGGGTGTGTGTGTGTGGAGTGGGGGGGGGAGGGAATTGTGTATGTACACGTGTGGTAGTAAAGTTACTCATTAGCTGCAGTAGGTCTCGTTATCTTAGGGAGGCACATCAATGATTCACTGCTTAACAGGGTGTTTGGAAATGCCTGCTTTACACAGAAGGCAGCCTGAACCAATATCCTGTGCAGTCCATGAGCACCTGTCTCAAACTGAAGGAATTTTAACTGCTTCTATTTTCTCTCCCAGATATTGGAACTCCCTGAGTAATCTTGTGGCTTCACTCCTGAATTCAGTCCGCTCCATTGCCTCCCTGTTGCTGCTCCTCTTCCTCTTCATCATCATCTTCTCACTCCTGGGGATGCAGCTCTTTGGGGGCAAGTTTAACTTTGATGAGATGCAGACCAGGAGGAGTACATTTGACAACTTCCCTCAGTCCCTCCTGACTGTGTTTCAGGTAAGGGCACGAGGGAAAACACCTTGTGTTTTCATGGGGCAAGACAGATCCTGCAGCCTGACAGGCCCCAAGATGGGACATGACCCTGCCAGCCCCCAGAGCAGGGTGCCTGGTTAGTCCCTCCCAAGGTGGGAACCAGAGATAAAACCCCTGTGTGCTGCAAGGCAGCCTTTGCAGGGCAGGACAGGAGAACAGCCACTGCTGTGTCCCAGGGCAGCACCTGTGTGCCAAAGCCCAGCCCTGCTGCTCTCCTCCCCGCTCTGGGGAACACATACCTGCACCACAGAAGGAATCCCATGGCCTTTAAGCCCTCTGCAGCTTGGGGAGTGACCCAAGGGGATCAGGATCATGATTTCACTGAAAAGTGGGAAGGGAAATGGCCTGGAGGCTGTGCTGAGGGCAGTGCTCCGGGCACCGAAACAACAGGCACGTGGGATGGAAATGCCTGGAGCGAGGGGGAGACTTGAACAGAGCTGTCTAGGAGAGCCATTTGCCTTCAGCCAGCATCTGCAAGAAGACACTCTTTGGGGGGCTTTTTCACACTCTGAGCACAGGCCTTCTTTGCATTTTCTTTGTTCTGTGGTTTGTTGTTTGGGGTTATTTTTTTAATGTTCTAGATGGACACAGCCAGAGTCTCCATGGGCTCCATCCTGGGGGAGGGGGTGTTCTCTAGGACAGTGGGGATCTTTGTGTTAACGGGGTTTTCAAATTCTCTGTGTGGTCTAACACTGTATCCCTTATTGGTGGGAATGTGTCATTTAGATCCTGACTGGGGAGGACTGGAATTCGGTGATGTATGATGGGATCATGGCTTATGGCGGCCCCTCTTTTCCAGGAATGTTGGTCTGTATTTACTTCATCATCCTCTTCATCTGTGGAAACTGTATCCTTTGATGCTACTCTTTTCTGCAAGAGGGGATGAATTAAAACCACTATTCACTTTGTTATGTCAGAAAATAGTGCATTTCACACCTCACATTTTTTGTCTTTTCCCTAGGTCTGAATTTTGGCTTTGCACTGCCCAAAGTTCAACAAGTTCATTTTGTTTTAGCTGCTGCTAAGGCATACAAACAGTTGTAAGAACCAGCTACTTGCCAGTTCCACATGCTAGCTTTTATTTAGTATCTTTACATGTTTAGTGTTTTTACTTTTCATTCCACTTTATCCTCTCAGATTTTTTCTTTCCTGCCTTCCCCACAAATTAATCTCTGGGTGTTCCTACTGTACTTACTGCTTTTTTTTTTTTTTTTTTACTTTAATTGCTTTTTTAGAAATACATTTCATGTGCTTCCATCCAAGCCTTATGTGGAATAAAAATATGTATAATCTGCAATATGCTATATACAAATGCTGTAACAGGAGTAACATATGTTTGGCATAATTGATTTATGTGAGATCATATATTAGTTCATGTATAAACTAACAGGACCTGTGTTCCATTTCAGTCCCTGCAATCTGTGTGTTCTTCAAACAGAAAATTTTGTGCTCTGTTATCTTCCAGCCTGTCTTGAGTAACTTCAGTTCTGTCTGGCTTTAAGGTGAAGTGAGGGCACTGTGCTTACCCCAGGAGGCACAGAGCTCATTGCATGATTGTGCTGTGAGTGTCTCTTCACAGGAATTTGCATATAACATGGAGCTGCCATTCTGTTCCCTATCTCAGCTTGCTCCAAATTTGTCCGTGTTTAGTTTCTGCTTCCCTAATAAATGGCCCTCCTGTGTCAGAGGTGACATTTCCTTTTATACTGATGCTCCTACAAAGCCACCTTATAGACTCAGCCCAGCTCTTCTGGCCTTTGCCCATAATTCAGGTCTCTCAAACCCTGTTATTTGACATTTCAGTTGACCTGCATGCCCTCACTTCAAAAGGAGGTGGTGCAATTCCACTTATCTGAAGGTCAAGGTAGGCAATCTGGCTGACAGCTTTAAAAAAAACGCTACAGCTTGGATCTCCTTGTGAAAATGTGAGCCAACACCACATGCTGGCTGACTTTGGAGCCTTTAGACCTTGGAGCCCAGGAAGGGGGGAGATGTCTGTGTTTCCAGACTAAGCCTTGAACCAGGGTTTGCTTAAAAGTTATCGTGGTATAAAAAGACCCACAGTCAAGAAATTTATAAAACAACCTTATGGTCAGATTTGTAATGTGAGATCTGGACACTGACTGGTAAGACAAGGAAAAAGTTGTGATTCCTTGCCCTTCAGCTACATGGGCATGGCTGGCCATGCATGGACCCTGTGCTAGGAGATGGCAGAGTTGCCAGCTCAACCCTTCACTGTCCAGACTAAATTAACCTCCGAAATGCTCTCTGGAGTACTGTGCTTGCTGCCCATAAAATCCCACTCCTGCAACCTAAACTGACAAAAGATGCAGAGCATTCAGCACTCCTCTTAAGTTCTGTGGGATTCTCTGTACAAAGGGAGACTCTCTTGGGAGACTGGAAACCAAAATGTAAATCCGGGCTTAGATGTTTTACATCAGCCATTCTGTTGTGAAATGTTGAAAACCCACAAAGAGTGTTAAAGGAAGGTGTAGGTTTGTGCATGATGGATATGCAGTTGTGTGAAATGGAAGTTTGGAAAAATCCAAGAGATCTGATGACAGGTTGCTAAAAATTTTCAATTAAGGAACCTTTGGTATAATCTTTTTTCTGCAGTTTTCAAAGCCTGTTTTCTTTAAGCAGCACACAAACAGATATCCTGCTGAATGTATTTTTGGCCATTGCTGTGGACAACCTTGCTGATGCTGAGAGTTTAACATCTGCACAGAAAGAGGAGGAAGAGGAGAAAGAAAGGAAAAAGCTTGCTAGGTAAATCCATTTGCATCCACTCACCTGCACACATTCCTGTAATTACACACAGCATGGATATATATGAATATGGTGCCTATACATCCATGTAATATATAGAACTTGTCTGTATGTGATTAATGCAATTATATATGGAATTGCATAAATTTTATTTAATTTATAATGCCAATATCGTAATTACTGTAAATATTTATCTTTTATATAGTCTATATAGATTTTTATGCAAAGGAATTCCAACTGTAAGACAAGAAAGAGCTGTGAGCTAGGAGTCCCCCCCAGCTGCAGTATTGTGAGCAGAGGAAAGGAAGTCTGGGTTACTGATGAGCTTTCAGAGCAGAGAATGAGTGTGAAATGCTGTCAACCCCCATTCAAATCTCCCCACTATCTCCCCATTGCTTTGGGCCACGAGGCATATTTTCTGTCATTCCCACAATGAGATTTAGCAGCTTCTTTCTCTTTCTGTGCCACATGCTGTTCTTCTCCTGCCAGTTCTTTTAGTGCTTCTGCAGACACTTAGGGGGCACAAGCTGGATGAGGAGCTTCTCTGTCATTCCCAGCTGCCAACAGCAGGGAAGCCTCTCCTCGCTGGTTATTCCAATTCACTGTTTTCCAGGCTCTTTCTGCCTCATCCTGCATGCAGCTCAGCAGATTTCCCTCGCTCTAGGGGTGCAGTGAGGGGCAAAACCTTTGTAGGCAATGCAGTTGGGAGCTCACAAGGTATGGGTTGGAAATGATCCATGCCTTTGGGTGAACAAAGAGATCTCTGCTGACACACCTGAAACATGCATTTGCACAAACACACGCCATGAAAGCTACAAAATAAAATAACTACATAAATAAAGTAATAAAATAACTAATAATATAATAACTGTAGAAAATTAGATCAGAGCTTCTGCCTTTGCCTGCATGTGAGGACAAGGTGCAGCTGATTGTTCTCATGGTGTGTGTTGTACTACATGAAGCTCCTGAAAGGAAAGCAGCTTTGCACCTTTGTAACTCTTTGGGTTTTATCTTGTAAAATTGCTAGGACTGCTAGTCCCGAAAAGAAACAGGAGATGGAAAAAACAGCTGTGGAGGAAGAGACAAAGGAGGAGAAAATTGAGCTGAAATCGATCACTGCTGATGGAGAGTCCCCACCTGCTACCAAGGTAAGGTCTGCTGGCAGCCAGCAGTCCCTGTGCAGTGATGGCACGAACAGCTTGTCTTTCTCAGGGAATGAAAACCGCCTGCCTTGTCTGATAAAGCCTTTGATGCTTCTCCTTCCCTCTCTGCCAGATCAACGTGGATGATTATCAGCCCAATGAAAGCGAAGAAAAGAGCCCTTATCCCACAACAGAAGCACCAGGTACACATCTCCTTCCTTGCATGCCTCACTCAGCAGAAGCTGCAGCTGCTAGTGCACACAAAGCCAAACTGGGGTAGCAGGTATGCTGGAAGTGCTTTCATGATGGGACAGGATGGTGTTCTTGCCTGTGTTTGCACAGGTGAGGACTTGGCCCTTTGAAGTCCCTCTACTGATCAGTCATACTTGATTTGGTTCTCTGTGAAGCTCTTTATTGGAAAACACAGGGCTTTACAGAGAATCAAATAGTATAATAAACATCCCTGTCTGAAAATATACATATGGCACTGTTTTCAGTGTGCTTTTTCAGTACTCAGTGGTCAGGGGAGTCTGACAACAGATAATCATGAAAGGGAATGTGCTGAATGCCTTTTTGCACTGTTTTCTAATCAAAAAGGACAGTGTGACACTAGCATAACTCCAGAGGCATAAGATGTCAGCCTGGGAGTGCAAGAAACAAGCTGTAGCTTCAGTTAGGCTGGTTTTCAAGACAGGTGGCTTAATTAACTTCATTCTCAGAAATGAAAATTTTCAGTTGAATTGAAAGATTGGTTGGAGAAATCTCAGAACCTGAAGCAGTGTTCAAGAGACCCTGAATGGTGGGTGGGCTTGGAGCTAGTCAGTTCAACTTCCATTCCAGGAAAAGTGCTGGAGCAAAGGATTAAACAAACTGTATGACTGCAAGATAAGGAGATGACCTGCAGCCAACATAGATTTGCCAAGAGCAAATCACATCAAGCCACCCTGATTTTCTTCTGAAAGGGGCTGAAAACACTTATAGACAGGGGTAAAAAAGTAGATGTCATGTTCTTTAACTTTGCTGAGGCTTCTGGCCGTCTCTTACAGTGCTCTCATAAGCTGACTAGAAAAATATGGTTTAGATGATGGTGAGAGAAATGCTCAGGCCCTTCATGGGGAGAGCAGTGATAACCCAAGGGAGTTTGTACAACCCAAAAGCCTGTCTAGAGTTCAGCTCAGTCCATTGCTGATGACCTGAATGATGGAAGAGGCAATATGCTTATTACATTTGTAGATGACATGAAGCTAGGAAGGACAGGAAGCGTGCTGGAGGGCAGCATTAGAATTCAAAGAGCTCCTGAGGTCCTGGATAAATGGTCTAAATAAAATTGAAAGTGCCAGGCTCTAAGCATAGACAGGAATAAACAATTCACAAATAAAGGTGACAGCTAGTTAGGTAACAGTCCTTGAGAAAAGGATTTGAATCTTATGACCACAAGCTCAACAGATGTCAGCAACAGTTTGCTGCCTTTGAAAAGGCAAGCCAGTAGTGAGATTTATAACACAAAGAAAGAATGACCCTTTTGTCCAGTTATGGGTTTGTTTCATCTGGTCAATGAAAGCTAATCAGAGCAAAGCAATTGTTTTATTGTGTTCACCATTGATAAGATCTCTGGAATATGGAATATCATGGCTCTTTTTGGGAGCTCTGAGTAAGAGAAGCAGGGCTGAATTAGAAGGAGTATAGAAGAGAATGGTGAAAACAATGCTAGTAGCTAGCAAGAATTAAGGTTGAATGAACCTTATTTGGCTTAGGAAAGGCAGGAGAAACATCTTCAAATGCATAAAAACTTCAGATAGGAGGAGAATTATCTCCATTGTGAAGTAACAGATTTAAGATTCGCAGCAGAGAGAATTTTCTAATGGTGAGGCTGTAAAAGTTCAGAGATGGTTGTGGAAGCCCAGCATCACTGAATGTTGTTAAGGGCAGGTCAGAAAAATGTCTCCCAGAAAAGACTTAGATATAATAATTAGTTGAACCTGGCTTGGCAGAGGCATGAAGCAGAGGGCCTTTTGTGGTCCTTTCCCTGCTCTGCTCTTCTGTGTTTCTGTGATTATGTAACAGGATATAATAGGCTATAAAACACTTTCTCTTCTATTCCATGATTCCTAATAAATAAATGTCTGATATGAGGTTGATTTGGTAGGGTAAAAAAGCCCACAAGAGTTCATTTTGAGTAGATGGACAAGAGTTTCAGACAAGCAAAATGGAAAACTGTTCATTGCATTTGATTTTCTGCATGAGAAGTCCTCACATATGCTATACATACATTTTTCCATATTTATAGCAAATTTATCAGGAGTAGAGTGTGGTTCTAGCTCTGTGCAATACTATTTTAACACTACCTGGAACATGTCACTGTGGATTTAATCTTCCCATCACCTCTGTAGGCACAGGCACTTGCTGGACACACATGCCCAGTTGCTAAGGGATTTGTGGGAGTCTTTAGTGAGAAGCACAAATTAAAACAGCTTGATACAATTTTGTTTCTCTTTCTCAGCTGGCTTGGATTTGCAGACAATTACGGTTTTTTTTCAAGTGAAATAACAGTCACCTGAATGTAGGTTTAAGTCTACTGCTAATAGAATTGGGGTTTATTTACTTTCTATAGATAGCTTACAAAGAGTAGCTTATAAATGAAAAATATAACAAAATGCTACGTCTACCCTTTTTTTTTTTATATAGAATTAGAGTGCAGAAAACCAAGCAAAAACACTTTCAATGCCTGCCCAGGGGTGCCAACACCTGTCTTAACACACTCTTGAACACAACCTAAAATCTGAATGGATTATCAGGTTTTTTCCTGTCTTCTATCAGAAATGCAAAGGGACACCATCTAACAAGGCAGGGTCTTTCCTAACCTCCCTTGCTCATTCCCTGACTTCTTTCTGCTCCTTAAACCAATTTTCTCAGTAACCTTAAACCAATTTTCTCCTGCTGCTCCTCGGGCCCAGAATAGCTGCAGCTCCTCAGATCACCTGGCCTCTTTTTCAGAAGGACAGACTGGTTCTCCCAGAGATTTGTGTACATTAGAAGGATTATTATGATGATATGTTTATTGCAGGAAGACAGGGAGCTAGTCTTGTAGTCTAGTACAGAAATAGACAAAGAATTCGGAATGCCAGATGAAGGTAAAAGCTTGGGATGATTCATGGGAGCTTGAAGCAAAATAATGTCCTTATACGAGAGTTCTGGTCTTTGTACAGGAATAAAAACCTCCCCATCATCGAATTTCTCACTGATGCTGTTTGTGCTCATCTCCACAGCCAAAGAACATTCGCTTCTACAAATGTGAGCAGCTGTGCTGCTTCTATATGGAGGTAGACAGCATGGGCAGTGACCTGGGACAAGGCTGTAATCAAGTTTTTCTTTGTGAATTTGGCCCTCAATGTTCCCTTTCTCCTGCACCCTAGACTCTAAGTGAAAAGTAGAACATTGTTCTTTACCTATGGCTGAGGAACTGAATGTGTTTTTCAGTCTGAAAGTATTTGCTTCCCAGAGACATTGATATATATTTCTTGCTGTATGGCAGACACAAGAAAAAGAGGAGAAGAACAATGTTCTTCATGGTCTTCATGGGGCTGATCCTTCTGCTAAGGGTCTATTTCCCAGAGGCATTGTTCCATGCCCATTTAAAAGTGTGTTTTAAGCATTCCTCTGAGTAATAAAAGAATGATCTCCCATTGAAGGTGCAGAGCAGGGACCCAAAATATTCTTCTTAAGAGTTTCAAATATCCCACATGATCCCAGGCATTGGTTTTCTGGCCTGTTAAAGAAGAAAAAGGATTTTCTTACCTCACTCTTTGTCAGCCTCCTCTGAAACCAGTAGATAAAAGGTACAAGTGCAAAGTATGGTTATATTACATAAACATGCACATTAACCTTAACACCTATTTTTTTATAAGTCCTATGTAAGAATGTACTTCTGAAAGATGTTTCTTTAACTAATAAAGCCTGTGGAAAGGGTATTATGAAGTATATTTCACATAAAATTGAGCTGTTAAAAAATAGACTGACTTAAAAGGTACAAACTCTATGTACCAGCTCAAACATTTATGCGAAGATCTATCAAGCAAATCTGAGCTGAACTCTTGGTACTGGAAGTGTAAAGAATCCTATTTGCATGTAATAATGGCATGCATTCAAAAAGGGCACTTTTCTCCTCTCTGATATCTAGATCAGGATCTGTGCTGATTCATCTGTTCTTTCTGATGTGTCCTGTAACCAGATCAAGTACAGTGTCTCATCCTAAAGGAACAGCATTCCTGGAACTTATCTCTCCTTATGGACTCAAGATGAACCTTTTAATTGGAGTTTCCTCCTTTGCAGTGCCTGGAAGATGAATCAGTTGTAGCTACCATGTCAGGCTCCCTTCTTAAAGTTTTTCCTTTTTTTTCCTGTCTTGCTGATTAAGTGAGGATTGGGATCTTTAAAACAGCAAAATCCTATCATGTCATTTACAAAACAACATCTGACTTCAGCAGGTAGAAGAAATCCTCAAAGGCAGAAACTTCTCTCTCATGCACCACTTAGCCTTCATCTCTGCATTTTCTGTCTTGAGGTTGCTCACTGATCTGCCTGGAGATGACACAGGTCCAAGAGTTTCAGCCTCATTCCCATCTTTCTGACCTTCCCCCCACTAAATTATAAAAGGGGACAATTTTAAGACTTCCTGATGAGTGCAAGTCAATGTGCATGTGCTCACTGTTTGTTCTGGGGCACACATGTGCACATTCCAGATGCAGCAGCAGCTCCATGGAGATGCTCACAAATAGAAGAAAAACAATCTTGGTAAACTGGAGGAATGGTCAAAAGGGGAAAAAAAATATGCCCTTCAGTAAAGATGAGGTCTGAGTGCCACTTTTGGGAATAGTCAGCAGCAGAAGTGCAGAGGGAGGAGTGACAGGCCAGACTGTTGCTCCATAGTAAATAATCTCTGCTTTGTGCATACCAGACACTGATGGCAAATTAATGCCAAAGGATGATGAAAAGTCTCCATGAAGGGCATTTAACAGGAAGATAGCATTACAAGATATAAGAAGTGATCTAGCTTTCCCCTGGAGCAGTAAAACCCCCACTGCAGGTTAATCCTGCAGGTAATCTGGAAGCAAGTAGCAGGAGTGATCAGAGACCTGGGGAACACAGCACCTCAGGAAAGGCTGCTGCTGTTTTGCTCTAGGAACCAGATATTCTCCCAGAGGCATAATAGTGATCCTCAAGCATGCAAAAGCTTTCTGCAAGAGGAAGGCAATTTTTAATTTTCTGTGTCCATGGAAAATAAGAAAACAGATAATGGCTGGAGACAACAGCAAGAAAGATTCAAATCTTTAAAAATAATAAAACCATTAGAAAAGCCATTAGAAGTAGCCTAGAAAGGTTTGTTTTCTGCAGAAGGAGCTGTGAAGCATCTGAGGAGAGTGTTGTGAGCAGGTTTTAGGTTTACCAGCACTAATAGTTTTACAGAGAGCAGTGTCTGTCAGGGTGAGGTTAAGGGCATTGCCTTGAAGGAGGGAAGGGCAAGGAAACTCAAGGCTTCAGCATCCTGTTTTAATGGTTCTTAGCTTTTAGCTGTAGGTATGACAGAGACAAATGCCCCTGCACTTTGGAATGGGTTGTGTTTTGTATTAAAAGACAAAAATGCTTCTTGCAGCAGAGGAAGATGAGGAAGAACCCGAGATGCCTGTCGGCCCTCGACCTCGCCCGATGTCTGAGCTGCACCTCAAGGAAAAGGCTGTGCCCATGCCTGATGCCAGTGCTTTCTTCATCTTCAGTCCTAACAACAGGTATTTAAGGGATTGGTTAGCCAGAAGAAGGAGGTGAAGAGCAGGTACCCCTTCCACACTGGGCCCCAAAAGTTGTTGAGGTGCAGAGCTCCCCTTCAGCAGCTGATACCAGAGGCCTCCTTTCACCCACCTCTCCTTTAAAAGGCAGGAAATCCTATGAAACTGTAGGGAGCACAGTGAAAATATTCAATGGGAGCTCATGGCACGTGCAAGGCTGATTGAAGACACAAATGATGGAAGCTGCAGAAGTAAGGGACACAGAGGCGAGTCAGTAATTGGAATTTCCTGACACATCCAGCTCCAAACTGCAGGAGAGCCATCATGCAATCAATCAAGTGGGAGGCAGCAGCTTCCTGTCCTAAGGGCTGCCCAAAATCCCAAAATGCTCATTGCTGCATATCAAAAATGAGCAGAAAAGAAGAAATGAGAGGGGGAGGAGAGCCCATTGCTCTGAGAGGCACAGTTTTGGGAGCACAATTCTTCCCTCACCCTTTTCCCATGGGCTCCTGCAGTGCAGCCTCGTGTTGTCACACCTGCCTTCCCAACCCAGGTGTGCAGGATGTGGCTGGAGGGCTGTCAGGAGACAGGTGAGTTTATCTTTGCAAGGACACAGCAGTGAGCCCCCTGCCCAGTGCAGCACCAGCGATTTCCAGTGTCTCTCCTAAGGGCTCAGCCTTCAAAAACAGTCCCAGAGGAAGGCAGGGCTGCACCTGCACCGCTCAATTCAGAGCTGGTTTTTAACACCCAGCAGAGCTTTTGCCCCTCCTGCTTGGGTTTATGTGACAGGGAGGGGCTGAGGGTGACTGGGGCCCGTGGACTGTAATGATAGCTTTGCCACCCACCCCCCGTCATTTGTAGAACTGAATTAACCTCTGCAGTCATCTGTAAAATCGCTGTAATAGAGACCTGGAGCCCTAACAGCCAGGACTAGAGCTAAATAGATTAATGAAGTGCCTGTAGAATTATGCACAGAGATATGATGGGGTTTAACTCCTCCCATCCTGCTACCAACACATGGGAAGTGGTGTGATGGTCTCCAGAAAGAAAGTCTGACAGGAGACTGCTCCTTCTTTCCCCTTTAGGTTCCCACTAAGAGCACCAAGTGGGTCTATGCTTAGCATGCATCCTGCATGGCATGATGTCTCTCAGAAGGCATTTGCTGATGCCAGCCTGCCCCATATCCCTTTGGCCAGGCCTGCACCCCATTAGAAAGGTGGATCCCCCACAGCTCCTGTTAAGTGACACTCCAGTCCCAGCTCAGAAGGACACTGGCACCCTAAAGCCTGTTTCTGCTGCTTTCCCCCTAAATGAATCAGGAATGGGTCCATAAATGAAAGCAAGGGGTATAATCCTGGGCTGGCAGGTTTCAGACCCCATGGAAATCACAAAAAGCCCTGGCAGGAGGGAGTGGCTGTTCCCCAAACACATCGAGTGTGAGTCCTGTGTGGAGAGCCAGCATTGCCCTGCACAGGTTCTCCTGTGCTGGGGCAGAGGGAAGATGCTCTGCAGGGCAACCCTCTGGTCCTGCTGGCAGAAGAGGAGGGGGGAAATGTTTCCCATGCTCTCCTTTGAGAGATAAAGTCGTGCCTCTCCTCTCTCTTGCAGGTTCCGTGTCCACTGCCATCGAATCGTTAACGATAACATTTTCACCAACCTGATCCTATTTTTCATCCTGCTCAGCAGCATCTCCCTGGCAGCTGAGGACCCCGTGAGACACCTCTCCTTTAGGAACCAAGTATGCTTCACATCCTCCTTCCCTCGCTGGCTATTGCAAGTGTGCTACAAGCAGACCATGACTTGAAGCCAGGAAAGGCAGAAAAGGCTGCATCAGAGTGCCTGTCTTCCATGATTTCTGCCTTTTGTAGGCTGTGTGTGAAATCATTAGGTTTTGCAGGAAACATGAGTCAGTGCAGAATTTGGCCTCTAGTTCACTTCAGAAGTGTGTGTAGGCAAAGGAAGAACAGGAGGCTGAAGCAAAATTATTGTTCCCTGGGATTAAAGCATTAGAAATGAGCTGTAAAAACATTGATTGGGGATACAGACAATTCAATTTTGAGGGATTTTCAGGTTCCCTTTGGAACATTCTGCTGCCACATGCTGTCTTTTAAACTAAAAAGCCCAGGGCCTGGTTTTCATTTTATTCACTCTGGTGTAAATCAGGAGTAACATTCTTGAGTTTGATGCTATCACTCTGGGGGAAATCGATGTCATCAAGGTTAGAATCAGACTTTTTGAACACAAACTACAAAGCTACCATTAAATTTGAGATAACCCTCAAAAAATATGCTGTGCTGCTCTCCTTACCTGCCTGGGGAGAGAAGAGAAAAGCATTCAGCACATTCTCACCCTCTCTCCTGATCACTCTTATTTGCCTTTTGAAATGTTCAGTGCTCCCTTAACTTTGCCAGTGGTTGTTTCATTAGTCAGGGGCCATTGCAGAAAAATAAGGAGTCAGCAGACATATGCAAGACTTCTTGTTTCTGTGTCTGCAGTGGCATTTTGGTGCCTCAATGCCTGAAGAGTTTTCTAGGATTGAAGAGTGGGATGGTTTCTCCTTGTTTAATAATAAAACCTTCATTTAATGCTCCCTGAAATATCCTGGCCTGAGCATGCATTTGAACACATATGTGCATGCAGAGAAGGTGTTAATGGAAGTCTATTCCTGAGCATATCTCAGGGTGGCTTTGCATTTTGTCCTGAAGGAGGATGCTAAATAATCCAGACAAACCTGTGCCACCAGTAACCCACTTGTGCACAAATGAGGCTGCACACCACGTAGGGATAACTAAATGCCAATATGTATTAGTGCTGCAGCATGTCAGCTGGCAGATGGGCTCCTGACATGCCACAGAAACTGTCACAGAGAGATTTAAATGAGAGGGGGGGGAAAAAAAAAAGAGTCAGAGCTGGTTGTCCTGGATTAAAGAGCCGAAGGTTTGAGGCAAAGCCTTGTTTGGTGTCTGTGAAGCCACCAGTGCTGTGTGAAAACCTGTCTTTAATTTTTGCAGGTACAGATGTTTAGAATGTGTCGTACACTGGGACACTGACAAGATGTTTGGGCTGCAAATGTGGCCTGCCTTTGCACCATAGAGCAGTGAAATCGTGTCCTCCCCTGTGCCCACACAGAGCCTGGGAGGAAAAGGAAGAAAGCAAACTGAAATCAAGCTGAAATCAAGCTGAAATCAAGCTGAAAGCAAAGCTGCCTCTGCCTTCACTCAGCATGAGCCTTGTGCACACTGGGGATGCTGCTGGCACAGACTGTCCCAGAGCAGAAATCCAGGAACAGAGAGCCCAGCAAGGGCTGGTAGAGAGGTTTGGAGAGTCTGCTGCTTTCCTGGGACAGGCTGTGTCTCTCTCTGTCACACAGGGCTGTGTCCCTCTCGTGTCACACAGGGCTCAGGCACAGAGTGCTTGGAAGTGCCAGCCCAGTCTCACCAAGCAGCCTTTGAAGTCCAAGCAAGCCCTAAGACTGTGCTCACAATATTCTCCTGTTTGCACCTTGGCAAGGTGCTCATTCATTTTAATATATTCTAGAGCAAGCTCCTATTTAGATAATAATAAATATGGCAGCTGATAAATGGAACTGCTTGCACTGGTGGGGCAGTGACCATTTTCATTAGGCATGATTTTTTTTTGCTAGCTGCACTTTGAGGCCACATTCACCAGCGTGTTCTAGCTCCTTTGCAGCCCCCTGGTGAGGTAAAGCAGCAGCAGGTACAGCTTAATTATTCACTTTAACCAAGTTTGCAGCTTCTTTATGTTGGTGGAGTCATGTAAAGCAGTTAGAGAGTACACACAAATCTGGCCCATTGATTATAAAATTGATAAAATTTTAAAATTATAAAATAATCAAATGTCAGGACTTACAAATCAGCAAGGCAGAAGGATATTTCCACTTGCAATGTGTGTAAATTAATACAGGTTGAAATTGAGATCTGTCCCCTTGAAGTGGCCCTTTCTTAATTCTCTAAGCTGAAAAAATTGATGGAGCCCAAGACAGCCTTGAGAAGAATTTGGGATTAAAAACTGAGCAGTGACCTGAAGAATTTTGAGTTTTGTGGTGGCAGTAAGTGATACATCCCCTCTTATTTGACTTGCAGTGTCTGAAAATCAATCCAGATTTGGATTGTGCTCAAATAGTGCAATGTGAAATAACCCTGGAATTTGCAGTATCTGCCCCTCTGCATACCAGGCTGTAAGAACTCAGCCACCTTTAAATCTGAGTGAGGATTAAGATACAATAAACACCTGTGGGATGGGAGAGGGCAGTTTCCTGGTTTATGTTTATTAGCATTTTAGCAGCAAAGGTCTAAAATTTCACAAATTATCCGTTTTCTACAACTTCCATATATCAGCCTTCTGGTTCTAAACATGGTTATGGTAAAACAACAGTAAACCATGGGCATGATACTTTTGATATTCAACATTTGTAGTGTAGATAGCACTAAAGTGGCTTGGAATGTTGAAATATATTGGAAACAAAGAGGGTTCAATCCATGAATCAGTGAGAAAGTTCCCATTTACTGTGAGATGCCAACATATTGGCACTGGAGGACATTCCTGTCCTTGATGCTGCTACTTTGAAAGCCCCTTTAGATTCTTGGCTCCTCATTGCCTCCTGTGACACCACTTTTTGGGCATGCCACAGGTACTTCCACCCCCAGGCCGGGGCTCCTGGGAATGAGGAGCGTTTCAGCTGGCTGGATATTCAGGATGCAAATAAAAAGATGCAGGATCTAAGTTAGGCACCTTTAGTGAATGACCAAATTATGGCTGCAATACAAGGGCTGGGATTCTGTTCAATTGGCAGAGTCTTTGTTATTCTTCCTAATCCAGAGCAATTCAGGACAGAGAAAAGAAATAGCTAGAGTATGATTTTGCAGTTTGCTTTTCTTCCTTTGAGAGAGGCACAGAACAAGACTGAATGGAAGTTAATAGGAAGGAATCTCATGTTTTCCACTGAGAGACCAGGCATTCTTTGTATTCTCAGTTTGGAATCCTATTTGGGAAAACCCTTGAATGTTCTTTATGAGATTTAAGAAAAAAAATAAAAAATAAATCCTACAGCAACCAAAAATCTATAGTGCTCAAGGGATTGTAACTCAGGAAAGATTTCATGTAATGTGCTTCTTGTCCTCTGTGCCAGGACCTTCACTGCATTCAACAGGACATTGTTCCAAAACCATTCGCTGTAGAGTCCTCCTCATCCCCTCGTGAAAAGAACTCATGTATTTGATTTTAACTGTGATTTCCCACTCAAGTGATCAGCCACTGACCTACCCTCCCCACTCCTATCCCCTTTTGTTTTTACAGATTCTCTTTTATTTTGATATAGTTTTTACTGTCATTTTCACCATTGAAATTGCTCTGAAGGTAAAGTGCCCATCTTCTCTACCATTTCTTGCTCACAAGCTTTCTAGCTCTCTGCCACTCTCTGTTGCTAACACACACTCCTGTTTGTTCCTGGGTCACGCTCAGTACCACTAACCCTATTGTGCTTATTTTTCAGATCCTAGGCAATGCAGACTATGTCTTCACTAGTATCTTTACATTAGAAATTATTCTTAAGGTAACCAATCTGAGAAATACACTTTTCTTTCTCTTTCATTCTTTCTTTCTCTCTTTTGCTCTTTCTCTCTCTCTCTCCTTTTTTTTTTTTTTAACCCCGTTATTATCTCTACACAAAGGGTTGTTTTTCTTTTCATTTGAGGTTTTGGTAGTTGCTTAAAAAGTCTCCTGAGAAATTTTGATATTCAAACTTGTAATTGAGGGCCAATAGCAAAACAATGCTGTGTAGGGGAATTGCAATGACAGGATGCAATGCTGAGAAATGTAAGAGAGGACCAAGAAAAAGGCCATCCCCTGATAAATTTCTCCCTCTACCCTGGCTGGTCTTTCCAAACCAGGATTTTTCTGCTCTGCAAGAAACTCTGAATACACACACCTCTCACACATGCTGCACCCAAAGAGAAGGTCTCTGCTCTGCAGAAACCAGCCCAGAGGGTGGCTGAAGACTTCTGTGAGCTACAGCCAAGCAGGAGGCAGGGAGCACAGTGCAAAACCTCACTTTTTAGGTGCAGAGAGAGACAACCAAGAGTACAAATCACTGAGACACCAAGGACAGTAGCTGCCAGTGAAAACTGCTGCATCAAAAACCCCGCTCTCCGTTTCCCAGGAGCGTGCTCTATACCAAGGGGAATGTGCAGGAGAATGATTTAGCTTGGAGGAAAATAAAAATAGGCTGCCTTGTTCTTAACTCTAATTTTCCCAAATTGGTAGGCTAATAATTTAAATAACAGTAATTGAGCAAAGTTCTGGCTTTCTAAATGCTAGGTTCACTTGGCAGCTGTTTTTGTTTCTTTTCTCAGCAAGCTAGTTCTAAGTGCTGGCAGGCAGTGCCTTAGAGTTGCTCAAATTTTGCAGCTCAAGACCCTAATAACAGTATCTATACAGAGGGCTGGCAAGCAGGGTGGCCCCTGCACATTTTTATAGTGAAATGTGCTTTTTTTTTTTTTTTTCCTATTTGACTTGAAATTACCAAAGCCGTAATGTTCTCCAGGCACATGTACACATTATGCCTGTGTGCAGTTTGCATCTGTGTTTACACAATAAATCTGAATGTGCACAGATCACATGGCAGATCCAAAAAGCCTGTCAAGAAAAGGAAAATATCCCAACAGCACCTGTTTGGACTCACAATTACTAATTCTCCTTGCTCTGAAGGAAGTGGTAATGCTCCTAATGACATCAATGGAAGCAAAACTTAACCCAGCCCATTGGCCTGGGCCTTCCCAAAGTCCTCCTGTTAACTTCAGTGATTTATGACAACATCCCTGGATATTCCCTCAGTTCAAGTGGGAGAATAGTGCAAGGACCATAAATTTAAGCCATGAATAGCTTGGTTTGTCAGTGCACATTTCTCTGCTGCCTGGCACTGAGCACAACGTTTTGCAAAACAGCAGAGTTGATAAGAGTGGTAAAAACAAAAGAATGAGTGGTCGTGGGGTGCTCAAGGCTGTAGAGGAAGAAGCTTCATCTGCCCTCGTGTTGCTGATGAGGACACCTGCAATTCTGGTGAATGCTGGCAAGGTGACTGCCAAGGATGTTTAACTGGCATCCTGAAAGGCTCTAAGTTGTTTAATGCCCCAGATGGGAGGCAGATATAGATGATACACTCTTTGAGAGTCTCTTCTGAGATGACAAAACCTCTCAACAGAATTGAGAGGACCACAGTTTGTACCAAACTTAAACTCAGCAGAGCTTCCCCTCCTGATTTCAATGGTGTCTTTCTTTCAAGATTGCCATACAAAATCCAACCAGTAAAGGGCATCTTTACCACCTTTGTTATGGCAAGAACCCCTCCTCCCTTCCCCAACTGAATGTGTCTACAAGTATAAATTCTAAGCCAAGACCAGAGTTTATACTTCCTCCCCCTCTAATTTCTGTCTGATTGATAGTCAGTTCCCCAATGTCATGGATGTTTGGTGAAGAAAATAATCTGATTTACCATGTGCCCTTCCACCCTGCTCCGAGTAAAGTTGTCACAGGCTGGAAACCACCAGCCAATACACCATCCCGAGCTACTGGTGGGACCCAGAAAACTCCAGTTTGACTTTCCAGTTCACACTCCTCAGCTGGAAGTCTGGCTACAGCTCAGTCTCATGGTGTCTGCCTCAGGTTACTTTAGACACCTAACTTAGATGAGATTCAGAGAACCAAACTTAGAAGCCTGTATTCCTGGATGGGGATGAGAATTCCTAATGGAGGAACATTAGCAGTTGTGGGGATGGGGTTTCTTCAAGGCAGCCACATCAGAGCCTAAGGTAGGTGGTACAAATACCCCAGCAGCTCACCCTCTTTAACTGTGCCAGGCCCATTGTGCTCTGTAACAGAGCTCAGCCTAAACTTTTTCTGTTTACATTGTCACTCAATCCAGTTCTGGAGCTGTGACATCCTCCTCAAAACCAGCAGGTTGTCAATACCCCTTCATACCCAGGTGAGGCAGAGGCTCCCTTGCAAAATACGTAACTATCTTCCCTCCCTCTGCCTGGTGATGCTCAAAATGATTACCTCCATGAAGAAATTGCCCCGTTTCAAGGAATACAGCCTGGGCTTTGTAAGAAAAACTACGGGGGAAAATGCAACTGCATCTAGAGTAAAAGTGGTGGGATTGAGCTGAACAGAAGGAGCGAGCTGAAGAGAGCAGTAATTCCTCCTGTTGTTTCAGTTCAGCTCTAAAGCATCATATCCCTGGGGGATTCTGGTTTTCCTTCATGAAAGGGAGGAGTCATCAACTGTCCACTGCAGCTGGTCTAAGTACTGAGAAGCATTACAGAAGAGCCCATTTTATTTTATATTTTTTATTCAATATTGTTAGAGGCCTTTATGTAGTACAAATGTCCTCTGTCACTGAAGAAAAAGGGAAAAGTATATGATTGCAGAGAGTAGTTTTTTGCAGGCAGACATTCTGCTGCTTTGCTAATCCTAAATGTTATGTGCTCAGTGCACTTGAAGTGCATATTTTCCTCACTTTCTTTAGTTAGGCCTCTCACAGTTATCTTGCTCTCCTTCTCACTCTCTTTTCTTTCCATGGGGGGCTCAACTTCTCCTTGGGGGTCTGGGGGTAAATTGTCTGCCAGCAACAGAAATCCTGCCCCCTCCCCAGTTCTCCACTCTGAGCACAGCCAGGTGGGTTTGGCTCCTGAGCAGCTGCTGATGGCAAAGTGTGTTTGTGTCTCCGTGTGCCTCCCTGCAGATGACGGCCTACGGGGCTTTCCTCCACAAGGGCTCCTTCTGCAGGAACTATTTCAACATCTTAGACCTGCTGGTGGTCAGCGTTTCTCTCATCTCCTTTGGGATCCAGTGAGTGAGCTGTTTCCAGCTGGCTGGTTTTGCTGGGGCTGGGCTGGGAGGGATGCCTCAGGCTCCTTGTCTCATCTGGGTAAGGTTTTTCTCATGAGCATGTTGGGGTATTCATGAGGTGTTTTTCTCAGATGATTCAAGGCCATTAAAATTCATCCTCAAGAGAGGAGGTAGTAACTGGGAAATGCTACACTGGCGACCTGGAGGGGGGAATCTTTCAGGAGGAGAAAATGAGAACAAAAAAAAAAATGGGTGTATTGGGAACCACGACACTTAGCTTTGTTCCAAGGCTTCCTTTGCTTCACTGTGTCAGATCAGGCCAGCTCAGTGATTTATGGTTCCCTCCTAGACCTCTCATAACCAGTTTGGAAAGTGAGGTTGATAATGCTGAGATGCTGTGAGTCTTGGTCAATGGAAGGCCATCAAGCACTTGATGAGAATCTTCAGAGTGGTAGTGGCTGTTCTGTCATGCTGTTTTCCTTTGGTTCATCTGCTAATTTGCTTAATCATTTATAGATTTACTTGGCTGTGTGTCAGGTAGGAAGTTCCCTAATTAGTTTCACATCTGATAAGAAGCAAGCTCCCAGTAGTTACCACTATAGGTTAGCAGCTCACATATGTCGAACCCTAAGTCAAGCAGGACAATTTGTGAGGTCCACTGTGCTTTCAGTCAAGGTCTTTAAGAATGGCACAGTGCTTGTTTTGACCTGCAGTTTCTTTCTTACAGACCTAAGTCAGACTTTTAGTGAGTTAACATTAAAACTGTTCCCAAAATCAGTAGGAAAACATGATGTCATTGAGCACGAGGGAGATTCTCAGTCAGGGTTTTAGTCCTGGAAGGCACAGAGAGCTCTGCTGCAGAAGGTAGTTGTGTTCAGTACTTAAAAGTGTGCACATAAATCATCCTAATCAATTCAGTGGGAGTTTTCACATCCTTGAATTTATGTACACACTTAAGTGGTTTGTGGGTTCAGGGGCCAAACACACTGTAGGATCAAAGTCCAGATGGATGGTCTAGCTTTAATGCTGGAGTCTCCTGAACTTTTCACTGCTCCATGAATATTCCAATGGAGCGCTTCTTTGAGCCTTTTCTGAAAATGCCTTGGTAATGACTACATCTTGGCATGATTTCTATATCACAGATATCTACAGGATCTGTTTGCCCTGCTCTAAAAATACCCCTTGCCCATGTTCCATTCCCCCTGCATTAGTACAGCAGAGATGATGAAAGCCAGAACAAGAAGCTAGACCTCTGAAGAAAACATCAGAGATTGGTTTCCTTACCCCTGAAGTGCCATGGCAAAGAGTTGACTAAATACCTTATGCAGTCTCAGGCCATGCAGAATTTCAAAGTTCTGTCCTTGCTGCACACTCCCCACATTTCTGTATCTCTCAAACCCTCCAATACTTTCTTCCAGGTCCAGTGCCATTAATGTGGTGAAGATCCTGCGTGTTCTGAGGGTCCTTAGACCACTGAGGGCCATCAACAGAGCCAAAGGACTAAAGGTTAGAAAAGTCCCAGTGCATTCTATAAACTATGAATTCATTTTATTCCAGGCTACAAGGGCTTTTGCAGTGGTTCAAGTAATGTTTCAGTGGAATCACAGTACGGTTGAGGTTGGAAGGGACCCTCTCAAGCAGGGCCCCTGAGAGCAGCTTGCTTTAGAGTACATCCAAGGAGAGGAGCTCCACAACCAATCTGGATGATCTGTTCCAATGCTCAGTCACCCTGGCAGTAGAAGTGTTTCTGAATGTTCAGATAAACCCATCCTGTTTCAATTTGTGCTCCTTGTCCTGTCAGTGGGAACCACTGGAAAGAGTCTGGCTCTGCCTCCTCTGCATCCTCCCTTCAGCCTTTAATAGACATTGACTGGATTCCCCTGAGCCTCCTCCCAGAGGAGCAGACCCAGCTCTCTCAGCCTTTCCTCACAGGAGAGATGCTCCAACCCCTTAAATCATCTTTGTGGCTCTTGGCTACATTTCCTCCAGTATCTCCACAATTCTCATCTACTGAGGAGCCAGAACTGGACCCAGTACAACAGGCACAGTCTCACCAGTGCTAAGTAAACAGGACAAATCACCTCCTTCAACTTGTTAAAATCTTTGCCTACTGCAGCCTAGGCCAGCATTTGCCATCTTTGTGGTGAAGGCTCATATTCAGCTTTGTGTTCACCAGGATGGCCAGGTCCTTTTCTGACAAGCTGCTTTTCAGCTGAATGGCCCCATCAGCACAGAGGTGAAATGATGGGGTTTTCTAGGGTTACAGATGGGCCCACAATATAACCAACCCTAAATATTACCTTTCTGTATTAGATGAACTCCTTCCTACATGCTGGTGCTGGAGCTGCTTCCCTAACTATGAGGGAAGTTTCAGAGAGTTGGGTTCTGGTATTTTCCTACTCCTTTCTGCCTGCTTTTAAAAGTACAACAAGAAATCCAACAAGTTGGTCCTCTTTCCCAAAACATTACTTGGGTAATGAGCATTGGTTAAATAATTGTTCCTTATCATATGTATTTTTATACTTGGGCTTCTTCCTTGACCAGAACACTTGAGAACAATCCGAAAAGTGGCTTTTGTTCCTCTCTTTCATTTGCAGCACGTGGTCCAGTGTGTGTTTGTCGCCATCAGAACCATCGGGAACATTGTGATTGTCACCACTTTGCTGCAGTTCATGTTTGCCTGCATTGGAGTTCAGCTGTTCAAGGTAAAACCATTGGACCCATCCATTCATCCAGTACATTAAGGGATGGGAAGAAAAATAGCATAAAAAGCCTGAGGAAGGGAAAATGGAGTCTTTTGTGTGTAACAGGCATTTGGGGCACTGTCAGTGTTACCTGAGCTTCTGCTACCAGCAGTTCTCCAAAACCGAGCCAGGCATATGCAGAACTCTTGCCCATCATCTGTGATCAGAAGAAATGATCAGTAACGCTGTTCCTCCCTGAACAGCTTTACACTGGCATGACATGATCCCAGGAAGGTGAAGGGGGCTGTTCCAAAGGATTGGTCCTTGCAGGTTCTCTACCTCCCATTTTGCAGAGGAAGGGGCACACCAGATACCCATTCACCCCTTTATGTCCGCTTTGAGCTCCTTGCCTTTCACCACCCTCCTGACAACAAGCTTTCAGGACACACAAAACTACCCCACAGGCAGAAGCTTCATTCCTCTTTTTCCTTTCCAAGGGCAAGCTGTACAGCTGCACTGACAGCTCCAAGCAGACAGAAGCAGAGTGCAGGTGGGTCTGAGCTTTTCCAATCCCTCCCCTTCGCTGGCCGCCCACCCGCAGCGCCTGGCGCTGGCAGTGCAGCTCTGCCACGTTCTGTCTCCACTCTCCACCCACAGAGGGTACTACATCACCTACAAGGACGGGGAGGTCAGCCAGCCCATGATACAGCCCCGCAGCTGGGAGAACAGCAAGTTCGACTTCGACAACGTCCTGACTGCCATGATGGCCCTCTTCACCGTCTCCACCTTCGAGGGCTGGCCAGAGTGAGTGCTCCTCACTAGCAATGTCCTCATTCATTCCAAAAGAGAAAATTCAAAGGCAGAGCATGGTCTTTCCCTTTCTAAGTGTTTAAATAAGTCTAGAGCTTTAAATATAGCAATAGTAGCACTGTAGTATTAGGTACTCTGTAAATTCCTCAGGGCCAGCAGGAATTTCTGCTACTGTACTTGTAAACAGTGCAAAGCAGTTCTTAAAAGATGATTTCCATTAGTAGCAGTGATACCAGTATTTGTTACAGTCATTATGTGTATAAATGAACGTAAGATGCACGTCAGGTCCTTTCCAGGATTGCCAGGTTTCAGGTGTCCCCATGGAGCCAGCAGGGTAATAAGAAACACAGCAGTGTGTCTGTGGGGTGCAGACATGGGGTGTCCTTGCAGACATGGGGTGTTTTGCAGACATGGGGTGTCTTTCCAGGCCCTGCTGCCTGTGCCATGGGAGCTGGGGACTCCCACAGGGTCTCTCAGGGTGATGGGGACATGCAGGGTATCAGGACCCTCACCTGTGTCACCAGCTGATGCCACCAGCAGCGTTAACAGCTGTTGAGTCTTGGCATCCCCTTTTCTCACAAAACTCAGTTCCCAACAACTCTGTTGGGACTGTCCTCTGTTAACCGAAGAGCATGATTTTGTTCAAAAATGGAGACATTTCACCCCTGAAACGGGTTCAAGTGTGTAAAATTAATAAGAGCCAGGTCTCTTTCACAAGCATTTGCACTCAGATTGTCTCAAGTCTGCACATCTCTGAGTGAATTAATTTTGATACAAGTAGCAGAAAATTCCAAAGTTAAACTTTAGCATCACCTACAAGGCCTCAAGACAGTCGCAGATTTTCTCTGCATATGGCTCCTGTTTGCTTTCAGGTTGCTGTATAGGTCCATTGATTCCCACATGGAGGATGTGGGACCCATCTATAATCACAGGGTTGAGATCTCCATCTTCTTTATTATCTACATCATCATCATTGCTTTCTTCATGATGAACATCTTCGTTGGTTTCGTCATCGTCACATTTCAGGAACAAGGAGAACAAGAGTACAAGAACTGTGAGCTGGACAAAAACCAGGTAATTTACAACACCTTGCTGCCAAAAAAGGCAGAAAAATGTATTGACAATAAGCTCTTAATAGATAAATGCACACAGAGAGGAAAACCTTAAGCTTGCCAACAAGATAAAACTGTAAGCTGGCTCTGCTGACATCTTTTAGGAGTCAGGCAGAAAAAAAATGTTGCTGTAAGATTCACTCAAGGGACAACAATTACTTAAAAATGTTTGCTGTACCATTTCTTTCACTGAGATTAGATGAGCAGTGTCTGGCCAAAGTAAATGGCCAATTACTTTGGCCATTTATATGTATCTATAATATAGAACAATATATCTATAATATAGAACTATATATCTATAACACAGAACTCTTAAACAGGTAGAATGTGCACATTCACATTTCTGTTATGACCTAATAGAAATTCTTCTACCAAGCTTGTTCATTTCAGCAAAAAACTTGAAACATACTGTATTACTTTTATTACAAATGAAGGTAGCTGACCACCCTGATATTTTTTGTTTGAGTTTTAAATGTACCCTGCCTCTCCCACAGCGCCAGTGTGTAGAGTATGCCCTGAAAGCCCGGCCCCTGCGGAGATACATCCCTAAAAACCAGTACCAGTACAAAGTTTGGTACGTGGTCAACTCCACCTATTTTGAATACCTGATGTTCGTTCTGATCCTGCTGAACACCATCTGCCTGGCCATGCAAGTAAGTAAGCAAGCAGAAAACCTCCAGGTGGTGAAGGAGTTTGTTGGGGAAAATGCAAAAATGGCTGAGGTCGAGACCTCCTTTCACCTTCACACCACATGTTGAGGGAGAGGAACAAGCACGTTAAGAAAACCATTGTGTTCATGCAGTTGAAATGAGGAATCTAGCTCTCATCCTCTTCCTGCTAATATCTGACACTTACAACAATTCTGTTTTGACTCCTTAGAAACAAACAAATTTCACATTTCTAGACAGAGTCCTGCAAATACTAGAACCTCTCAAGAAAAATGTTGAAAATGGCTCAACACTGTATTTTTTCTTGGCCTTGCATTCAGCTGCAGCTGAATTGTTTTAACTGAAACTACTTTGAGTAAAATCACCCTGTGCCAATACAGAACATGAAAATCCATCCCTGCTGTTTGAAGTTTATTAAAGTTAAGCAACTACAAATGGGATCTTGTAACAATGGAAGGTGACCTTAGAACAAGGCAGTGCAATCAGTTCAAGTATTATGATCTGGAAATAAGGATATGAGAAGTGAGGTGGCAACACTTGCAGAAGACGCTGCTTGAATTAATCAATAGAAGATGGAGAGTAACTTCATAAGATCTTAATAAAGTTAAGTGAATGGGCAGCATGATTTGCAAACTTAATTCAGAGTTGACAAATGCAAGATAATGCATATTGGAAAGGCATGATTTGAGCTGCTCATGTACTTTGCAGAATCCTGAATTTAGTGTAATTACTTGAGGAATGGCTTGGTATCATTATGGACAGCTCAGTGAAACCCCTGCTCACTGTGCAGTCACAGTGAAATAAAAAAGTATCCCAAGCGTTAGGGAAGGTTGAGATAAAAAAACACAATTGGAGATTGTATTGTAACATTGTGCAAATTTATAATGAGCCCTGAATTGGAATGATAAGTATGATCTTGGTAGCCACTCCTCAAAAAGATTATTCCAAAAAGAGGAGGAGATCAAGAGCCAGGTGGCAAAAATGGATAGAGGCATGGGAGTGCTTATGTGTGAAGGGAAATGGGAAATCTTCATTGAAAAAAACGAAACACGCTGGGATCTTCCTTAGAAAACCTTGGCATGAGGGGAGACTGGGAGGGGTCCTGTGTGCCCCTGAGTGCTGGCACGCCCTGTCCTCTCACTCCTGCTGGGACGCTGTCTTTCAGCACTATGGTCAGAGCTGCATGTTCAAGGAAGCCATGAACATCCTCAACATGCTCTTCACTGGCCTCTTCACCGTGGAGATGGTCCTGAAATTAATCGCCTTCAAACCCAAGGTAGGTGCTCTAGGAGTAGATTTCCCTGGCCTCTGTGTGTGTGTGCATGTGTGCGGGGCAGCTGTGAGGAGAAGGAGGAGGTGAAACTTTCTGATCTGTTACCCCACCAAGAACTGAGCTGGACAGTTGCTCTCTGGATTGGAGTCTCACTTACCTTTAATAACTTTTTTTTGGCTGGAGAGTAGACACACTTCCAAAAAAAAAATTTTAAAAAAAGGTTAAAAAAAGGCAACACCTGCTAATAGAGACGGTTCCTAGTTTTCATTAAGTTATCACAGTGACACTCTGCTAAGGCTATAACATGCCTTCCATTCTGAATATTATTCTGATGCTCTCTCTCTCTGACTTTCCTTATATAATTTAAAAATAGCATCTCATGATTAGTCTCCTGACCCAAGTGAAGTTAATCAAGCATGACTCATTTTGAGTTATGAGCTTTGGAAAAAAAATAAAAATGTTTCTTCTGGGAGGGCTACATCTCAGTGATGGTTTGGATTGCTCTAGTTCTGAATTTAAGACTTCATTGATAATATTCAGCACCTCAGCAGGTCCTGTCTGAAAGTATTGCCCTGTGCATTGGGCCATGATATTATGTAAGTATAGCTGCTGTGGGGTATGATCATAACCTCCAAGCTCTTCTAGCTAAGTTCTCACAGCTGCTGCAGGACAAGGACAAAGATCCTGACCTCACAGAATTACCCAAGATTTTCTTCTGTGGGGTTTAAATTCAGTGATGTGTCATAAAAAGTTGAATCCAGATACCTGAATACAGTTCCCTCACGTCTTTTCATACTTTCAGTGGTACCTTGACACATGGGGTTGTGTCTTGAAGGATGCTTTGAAACATTGTGGAGATGGGCAAGATGTTCTCTGAAGCATCAGTTATGATATTGGTAAAAATGAGAACTTTTATGTCTGGCAGTCATGCTTGTCCTTCATGTTAAAGTTAGGGGAACACTGAATTTAGCTCCTCCCAGGTCTAATCCAACCTCTTCCTCATCCTCAGTTCAGAAACTTTGCTCTCCATTTCTACTGAATTTGCCCTTATTTTCTTTTCTTTTCAACTCCGTGTTGACTTTACCCCCACCCAGCTTCTCTCTTCCTTCCTTTTAGCAAGAAGTTTACTTTCTAGAACTTCTTGTAATAGTCACAATTTTCCTTTTCACCCAAGCCCAATATCCTACCTCAGATGTAGTTCTCTTGGAAGTTAGGAGTATCTTGGCAGTCCTGCTGAGGACTGGGTTTTGGAGTTGTTTTATGAGATCTCAAACACCATCTTGGGAAATTTAGAAGCATCATTATCTGTTTCAGCAGGGATTTTCATTTTCAGGAGAGATCTACTTTTCATTTTTGAGACTTCACCATGTCTGTTAGCAAGCAAATTTTCTGTCACTTCATGAAAGTTTTATCTGCACACCATGTACCCAGAAGTGCATCTCACAGGCTTTATAATGTTCTGATTTTGCAGTTCTGCTTTGCAGGAGATTCTTAACTTTCAGGAGGATGAGAATCTCAGCAGAATTTGGTTTAGAACATTTAGGGGAGAAGTTCAACCAGCTCAAATACTGAGTTCTGTACATATGCAAGGAAGGCTTTACCTCGCTTCTAACAGTAAGGAAATGGCATTGATGATATTGGAAGTCCTTTCTACTTCCTGTGGTTTACTTTCCTCTGTTCTATCTCCTCTTCAACTTTTACTGCACAAAAAACTACTGAAAAAAATATCAGCTGAGGGTAAGCATGGATCTCTGGGTGGCAAAACATTGAAACATATTTCCTAAAGTAATTGTGGAATCTCTATAGTTTGAGGATTTAAAAATTAAGTTGGGGGAATCTTTAATTCATGACAGTTTAGGAATCTATGATCTGTCTTGACACAGGCAAATGGAATAGACCACAGAGCCCCTCTTAGCCCAATTTTCCATGATTCTGTAATTTCCAAAATAAATCTCCAGCTACTACACTATAGCAAAAATGAGAGTAAAAAAGAAATTTTCCTTATGATGAGAATAGTAGAGTCTTAATGAAATACTTTGAGCTAGGACTCAAACAACAATCTCAGGTGAAAGAATAGCCAGCACTAACAATAAATATTTCAAATGCTGGTCTGGCCTGTACACCAAAGATGGTACTAACTCATACTTCTATTTTAGTTAAATACCATAATGAAAAAAGGAAAAAACCCAACATTTTAAAAACTGAAGCAAAGGATTACAGGGAAAAAAACCAGGACTGACCTTGTGAAAAGAGGTAACACAGCAAAAAAGGCTTTCCTCCTGCAGCATATTCACTCTGAATGATGTTAAGCACCAGCTCAGAGACTCAGGTTGGGAAACACCAAATTCCTTGTGCAGCTTGTCATTGTAACACACGAGGAATTGGCTGCAGCCGTCATTCCCTGCTCTCCAAAGAAGGCAACCCTTTCTCCCAGATGACCACTGGGACTGATGTGGACCAGCACTGGAGAGCACCAACTTCTCTTCAGCTTGCACACCAGTACTGAAGATGAACTTGCCTAGAATATGTCCTGCAGTGGAAGTTTCCAGCATGGAGAAAGTAGTTACCTCCATCTTCTGCTTGGCTAGACCTTGTGGCCAAACTACATTTGCAGATGGAAGTTGTCTCCAGGAACACCAGCTGGGAAAGTCCAAAAGCATTTCTTTGTCACCTGGGAGAACACCATCAGCTATCCCCTCTAACCCACCAAGTCCCCCCAAGAAAGAAATGAGATGCTGAGTGTTATTAGTGCTCCCCAGGTGGGAAATGGCAAGATGAAATGCTCCTCTCTGCTGCAGGCAGATTTTCCTCTCATTTCCTGAGCAATAAAACACAAACCAGCTTTTGTTTAAGCTGCTTTGTCTCATTTTGAATTTGTGCCCAAACATCACTCTTTTCTGTCTGAAGAATACCTTAGGAAAAAAGAGCTGTAAGCTTTATGACTGACAACAAGAGAGGAGGAAACTTGGTTAGCTGAAGATGTTGTGTTCTAATGACAAGCCCCAGGAGAATGTGGCAGAACAGAACTGAGCACAGAATTGAAGCTGGCAACACTCAGTCTGTTTTCTCCTTTTTTTGGGTGCTTAACCCAGTCGTGGATGCTGCAGCTTAACCTTGAACTGCAGCAAGACAAGCAGGAGCTGGGTTGTGACTCTGAAGCAGCCACCACAGAGCTCTCCCTTGCACAGCCACTTCCTAAAGGCACTTTGGAACAAAGGGTCTGCAGCAGCAGCAACGGGGAGACAAGGCTCTCTCCACCTGCACAAGGTGGAACAAGCTGCTGTTTATACCCACCTTCACCAGGGAGAGCTGGAAAGGGAACTAGGACAGATCCCTGAGCTATTGGGAGCTACCTTCTCACAGAAGTCACCTCAGGGATGTGCCCAAGTGGAGCAGCTCCAGGGGAAGCCAAATCTGCAGAGTTCCTGCTGCTGCCCGTGGTGTGGCATCCACTATTACAGGTGCACAGATTCAATTGGAAATGGGATGGAAAATCATCAAGATCATCCAAGATCATCAGCTGTTAACCTACCACTGCCAAGGTCCACTAAATGCAATGCTACCTGTGTATTACCTGCATAACAACAGAAAAGGCGGCAGCCTGACTGAATGGGATTTTTTTGCTGCATCCCTTTTTTATTTCTTCATTCCCATTCTGTGAGATGTCCTCCTGACTTGCTCCTCTTGGTACTAGGGGTGGAAAAAGCAAACACAATCAGTTGCACAGAGAAGAAGCAGGTTCACGCGTGTGCCTGTCTACAAAGAACCAGCATGGATAATCCAGCCCTGCCCCAAGTTCTTGTGGTGGGAGCTTCACTTATTGAAAGGCCAGATGTAGCAACAAGGAGCCAAGTCCAAGTCAGGGCTCGTCTCCTAACACTTACAGAAAATATGTGATGGGGGTAGGAAGACAAAGGCTTTCCTAACTAAACATACTGCTGAGGTTGGTTGCTCTGGTCAGCAAGTCCCTTTGAAACTTGTCCTTTTGGCTGGCCATCCTCTGTGAGCAGTGTTTTGCTTTGCTTGGTCTCCTGGGAGGCCGCAGAGACGAGGGGTACGTCAGCTGGAGCAGCTGCTGCTGTGGCACACTCAGCACATGCCAGGGCTGGGACAGGGCTTCTGAGAACCCTGTGGGGGTGTGTGACACTTCTCCTGCTGCAGAGGGTCAGTTACCACATTTTTTGCAGGATTAATCTAAGCACCGTGTCAGGCAGCCCATCCATGTCTGCAGTTTTTGTCAGGAGGGTGTGCTAGCAGTGAGCTGGAGAGATTTGGGATGGTTAAGGCTGCTGATAAAGAAAACATCCACTACATGCCCTGCATCTCCTTACAGAGCATGAATATGCTGCTCTGAAGCAAAACTCCCAACTGGACCTCAGTGTTTGTCTTGGCTGGTGCTCATAAACTGATTCAAGACTAGTTACTTCAAAGAGACAGACAGTCTAAAAGTAATGCTGTTGAGCCAAGGCCTTTTGCTGCTTTGTTTTTCTAATTTTATAAATTCTCCAGCCAGTCTGCTGAGCTATTTTCCAGTTCCTGCATGGAGAAAGCTCCTGCTGCTGCTGCTGCTGCTGCTGCTTCAGGCTTTTTCCAGAGAACACTACTAAAGGGAATGAGGTGCTGTGCTGTCTGTGGTGCTCACAGCTACCACTGTTCCAGCTTCTTAAAGAAGAAATCCCCACAAGGACCAGTCCATGAAGGGCCAGCTGCTCTACAAAACCTGCCTGGGGTTTATCTTTTCAAGTTAAAGGCAGTGACTTAAAATTCCTACTCATATGAAGCTTCACCATCTGTCAATGCACATGCTAATGTGAGGATGGATATTCCTCCAGGAATTTCAGATCTTTCCAGCTCCCTGGAATGGGCTGTTTTCCTGATCAGCCACATCTACTTTTTCTTTCAGGAAATACTTCATCTGTCCCTTTATTAGCTAGGGCAGGACCACTAATCCAAGAGCTATGAATTTTCTCCTGCTGTGCCTGTCATCTCAAACTAGGGAAGAC